TGCAATGACATATGTACGTATGTTGAACTTCTTTCGCACCGTACGTAGGCAACCTCGCTAAGTGGAGGTAGGGGAATGACAGCAAACTGAACACGAAAATATATCGTACGTATGTTGAACTTCATGCGTGTATGTCAATATTCTTTCACACCGTACGTAGCCGACTGTGCTAATCGGAGGTGCGAGGGAAGGAACATAGCATGCCCCGCTGTGAATCAGGTCACATTAGATCGGGGTGTCTGGCCATGGCGAGTGATATCTGAACCAGTCCTGCACCCCCCCGATCCCTTCACGAACCCTGTACCGACCAGCGTGGTGAAGTACGGTCAGATAACCAACGTGGTGTTGTGGAGGCCTTCATCTAGCAGCGGATTGACAAAGAGCTGTAATTTTTTTTTATTACATTTGTCATGTGCTCTATTACTAAGTTGCCTAAACTCAATTTACATCGAGGTGCTTTGTTTATTTAAAGTAAATACATTGTTCTGCAACATTTTTACTGCCTTGACTTAACGGGTTTTTTTTTACTCCTGTCCATTTAGTGAAATACAATATTTATTCCAGGGGTTTAACGAGCTATTCATGAATCTTTTACTTGCAAATCCTAATGCTTGCAAAAATGCATCAAATTTCGCGTATTTCACGCAGATTATTTCCTCGTGTTACTTTTGGGATAATGCGGTAAAAACTCTGCAAACGAGAAAGGACAAACGAGATACAATACAAATGAGGCAGTAAAATCAAGACGTGGGAATAATTCATTCTTGACTTGACCCGTTGCCCTGAAATATGATAATTCATCAAATAGCTTGAAGAGACAAACGGGACAATCTTTACAATCCTGACCTTTAGAAAAATATATATATTTTTTTAAAGTTGTATTGGTTTCCAGTGGTACTGCTGATGGGCTTTTGAGAAGTTTGATAGTTGCCTTTGGTGTCCTCGCCCCTCTTCGAGTTCATCGGTTGATGAACATTTTGTATACGTAGATGTCCGCAAGTACATGCTGAACGTATTGAGTGGCACTTTTGATGAACGCATGCGGGTGTTGTTTACAGGGCAGTTCAGTACGTCACGCAAGAGTTGGGCGCGAGAGGTGGAAAAAAATGTTGCCTTGCATTTTTGGAAGGGCCTAATCTGGCATGGCCTTAAAAGACGATTTAATAATAAACAGATCGTCTGCCAAGGAGTGTGCTGTTTTGGTGTGCGTTTCTTAACGCGTTTATAAATTACTATCTTGGAACAGTTGGCATTCCAAATAAAGTCAACTGCAGCACCTTCGTATCTTCTTGGCTTCTAAGTCTGCCAATGTATGTGTGTGTCGAACTTCCTTTGCGCCGTACGTAGCCAACCGTGCTAATAATCGGAGGTGCAGGGGAAGGACAACAAACTAAACACGAAAGCACTTCTAAAAAAATGAGTTAAGTGGTTCAATCCTTCTCTCATTTAAATGTACACGTTAGCAGAGATGAGTTAATAAATAACAATGTCTTATCGGAGCATCTCCCGAGTTCAGAAACATGACGAATTCGAGATTAGTTTCATCATGATTTCCATGCCAATTCAAGTTATCTTTTTGGGCTGCTTCGCCCGGTTTATGTAAATACAGAGGAGCTCGACCAAATAATATTTATCCTTGATAAAATTACATCATTTGGAGGGAGCTGTAGTTCCAGTGGTTTTTAACACACTGCTCGATAAACCTGGTGACTTGAGTTTGGCATTCAGGTAAGCCAGGAGAGGAGACCCCTTGGGCTTGGTGAAGATCTAGGTCTGGATTTGGCGACCTCCGGCTCCGAAGCGGCATGCGGCTCTTTGAGGACTGCTTCGTGACATTTTTTATCGAGGACCACCGTCTCTTATTCACGTGCATTGCGGTGGCTCTTGAAATACTGAGTTATATTTTTTTTACCGGATTCTATAACAAAAAATGTGCTCTTGTTATTTTGATTTTCGACCCCCCCCCACCTCCTGGCCTAGGCGGTGCATGGAGCAACTAAGTGCTTCAGCCTTCGCATACACGAGGCAGCCGCTTCTTTAGCCAAGGCTACGTGGTTGTAACACGGTGTCCTGGATGCACATGGGCATGGATGAGGGACCCTGCCTGGGCCATCCTCCACTGGGCCATCCAAGGGCCTGACCTTTATGCTGAATGCCACGCCGGGATCGGGGTGAAACCTGGTCAATTTTGCCCTCTAGGCATCCACGAGTGAATCTCAATGGAGATATCCCGGTCACTTAAAATCAGCCTCAATGCCCCCTACCCCATCTTTTATCTTCTCCTGCAGGGGTTATCAGAGCTTAGGAAGACACCAGAGGGATGTAGAATTTATTGAAACAGTTTATTGAAACGTGCGGTTTAAACAGGTTTACATTGCACTGTAATCCTTAATGTGTCTCTGCTGATGGCAACCCCCTTTCATATCCTCTGTGGTGTGTTCCTGATATCGTTTTGTTCATAAAATACTTTTGGAAATAAATAAATAAAATCGGCCGGGATGCCCCCCCACCCCCAACTCTGGTTTGGCTGCCTGCAAATTGGTGGCGCTCATCCAGTGAACGAACGTTCCGAGTAGCTAAGATGAGCCTCTAGCTGAAGCTTCGCGAAGCAAAATTTGCAATGGAATCGTGATAGATCCCATCGCAGTGCACGAATAGTCCACGGCACAATCTCTGTTAGACAACCTTTCAGTGAAGTGGATATTTTTCTTTTACGTGGTATTCACCCACAGAAACAAAAAAAAAACGGTGGTCTCTCAGGAATGGCCCAACTCTGGCAAAATAATCGTTGGATATTAAAATAAAGACAGACGGTTTGTGTGTACTGTAGTAGATGATGTGGGATAACTTTGCGTTTGGAATATTTTTGTATGAACCGTTGGTCTAGTACATGAGCATTGAAGGCACTGTGAGGTGTACATTTAAAAAGCATAATCTTTATTTATACTGGAGGAATCTGATGAGCTATAAAGTGATTTTTCAAAGATGTCCACATTAAGCAGAAGAGGAACGTAAAGAGTTCACCCCTAAGTTGACAGTGATGCATTTCAGTGTTTAGGCATTTCCAATTCGAAGATGCCATTCAATGGTGCATGGAGAAAATGCGAATGTCGGGCAGCTGGCAAGAGTTGATTGGGACTCAGCCGTTTTGGTCTTCTTAAGCAGCCGTAATCAGATGATGAATGCAGCAGGCGTGCCACCCACACCTGCTGGTGATGTATTCCACCCGACTCCAAAATCCCTCGGTCGTGTGAAGCAAAATAAATCATAAAAAGGAGAGACGTAAAGCCGCTTAATCACATAATCACCGCAACTAGCAAAATCTTACAAGGAAAAAAATAGTTGGGCATATATGCGGATCCGCTGCGGGCGGGCAGGCGGGCGGGCTCGCTCGCTCGCAGAATCACGGGGGGGGGTTTGAACTTGTTTGTTATTGGCGAAGGCGCAGCCCGGGACATTGGACCCATGCCGAGCAGGTGGAATGGAAAGCGTTTTTTTTGTTGCGTGGCCGCAGGGCCGAGAGTGAATTTGGGCCCCCCCCCCCGTGCCCATTCATCAGTGTCGGTTACTGTAATGGCACTTGCCCGATGGCATTGTGGGTGTGTGTGGTTTTTGTGCTGTCGCTGCCCTCATTGGTAAGACTTGTTAGCTGCTTGCTTAAGAGTTGTGGTGCACTTAACCGAATTTTCAAACGGTGTCACATTTTAAATGGACTTGGCTCCGAGAATTTGCGCTTTAAAAAGTTGCTGTTGCCATCCGAGATTGCTCCCCCCCCCACCGCTTGTTATGCTCGACGAAGTCTGCCGTGATATGTGTGGAATTTTGTTCCGCGAATATTTATGTTTGCGGCATCGGCAGCAGATTTGTTCACCGTTAACTTCTAAAAAGTGTGTGTTGCTGAATCATTTTTTTGTTTGCATGTATTATACGACAACAAAAAGACTGACTTGGTACACACATTGAATTCTCTCTATGAAGTTTTAAATTAAACCCGATTTTGCAATGGCTGTCACCTGATAAGGCTGGTTGGTTGTAATTACCGGCAAAACGTCGTACTCGAATTGCAAATGTTGTGGGGTTTACTCTCCAACACACCGGTGTGCTGTACTAGTAACGAATTGGCACGTTTTGTTTACGTGACAAACCTTACTAGTTGGCTGTGTCGGGTTGGTGGTGGGTTTAACGATGCATTGATATTTATGCAAATCTAACTTAACAAAAAAAACCTCTGATGGATAATATTGGTCGCGAAAGCCGACGCGTTAAACTGAATGTTTGCGTTGTTGTTTTTCATCCGTCTTGAAATGCGGGCGTAAAGTCGCGTAATTGTTGTTCAGCAACATCACTGTGCCGTTGGCCAAACCACCCCCAATGGCATTACCTTCTTGGAAAATCGTATTCATGGTCCATTTGTTTCCACCCTGTGTAAATCAATAAACAACTACGTATCTGTGGGACATTGCCAGAAAGGGTAAAAGCCTATTCTTCGTTTGTCATCGAAACAACGACGCATTTTCATTTAATAATAACAACAAGAGCAATGCAACGGGGGGCCTACAAAGTTAGATTTTCATACGTCCAGGACTCCCTGCACTCAACTGTCCTGTGCGCGTACGTGCGTGTGCGTGCGTGCATGCCTGTGCATGTGCGTGTGGCCAACATCCATGGCGAATATCTAAACCGGTCCTGGCCCTCCCCGAGGTCGACTCGGCCTCAATAGAGTACCTGGTGTGGTGTGTCATCATTCCCACTGGGGAGACAAAGGTGGCCGGGCGCGGCGCTGCCCACCGACACTCATGCGTGCCGTTCCGGCCTTCATAGGTGCTCTCTACGAGCAACTTACCCCAACAATCCGTCAAGGCTATATAGGGGATCTTTGTCTTTGTGTGTGTGTGTGTGTGTTAGGCCACCATCAAAGTGCTTAAGTGACTACTTACACTGCATTACAAAGGTTTGTCTGTGTGTAACCCGAGCATCGTCCCCTCTGACCCGACCCCAAGACAGCACAATAGGATCGCACGGATCCGCTCGGAGCGCCTCGAAGGATTCCGCTCTCTGGAGACGCTGGACCTGAGCTTCAATCGCATCACGGATATTGCCGGCTCCTCCTTTCCCATCGGCCTTCCTCTCGCCAAGCTGTAAGCGGATTCACCCCCCCCTGTATCCCTCTGCCAGACCCGGAGCCCCACGGCTTGAGTTAGTGGAACACATTGCCTCGTTATATTCAACTATGTGGGTACGCTTTGTGTCTGCCATGGATAACATGGCATTTTGGCGCGTTCACTAAAATCGGGTGGGCGGGGGGGGGTTTATTCTTTCATTGTTTCCCCCCAACGCCCCCCAACTCCCCCCCCCAACTCCCCCCTCCCCACCCCCCCCAACTCCCCCCTCCCCAACCACCCCTCCCCCCCCTCGGAGCTTGTCATGCATAGCAATGTCATGTTTAATTATGCCGGGTTTTCTCTTTTTTATATTTTCCCAATGCAGATAACATGACATTGGCATGTTCTGTTTCATGTATTGGTACGTCGTTGTGTTTTTTTTTTCCGTGTTATATTGGCATATTGTTCCGTTTATATACGAGTGGTGTGTGATTCGTATTTTTGCCCTCCCATGGGTGTCTGCTGGACATTGTAAGAGTTGCGCGAAAACGTGGCGGCTGTAACGAGCCCACTTTCCCTTCGCCTCCTCGACTTAAACAACTTGTCGCAACTTAGTTTCTGTGATTCTCGACTTGAGCAAGGTTTGTAGGAACGTGGGAACGGTGGCGGTGGGAGAGGGCATTACAAAGTGGAGCTGTGCGAGCGGAAGAAGCAAAAAGAAAAGCGTTGTGCCGTGCAGTGTGGTGAACGGGTGGGCGGGCGAGTGGGTGTGCGTGTGTGTTTATGTACGCTGAACTTCTTTTTTCACCGTATGTAGCCAACCGTGATAATCAGAGGTGTGGGACGAAGGACAACAAATATAAACACAAAAAGCAGTTCTAAAGAAACGAGTTTTAAATCTGGATTTAAAAGGTACATAGCTGCATTGGCCTCCGTTTATCGGAAGGAAGAGTGTTCCAGACGGCCGCAAAAGTGCGCCTGAAAGCGCTCGATGCGGTGACCGTCTTTGTTCGATAGCTCGCCAAAGCCGCTGCTGCGAGGATGACCAGAGGTCACGTGATGGTTTATGCTCTTTAAACGAGATCAGAGAGGTATTGTGGTTCATTTGTGGCAAGCACTTTGTGTGTAATGAGTGCGACCTTGTGTATTCGTTCGGCAACCGGAAGCCAATGCAGCTCAGCGAGCACCGGGCAGACACTGTCGGATCTTGCAAGTTGCAAATGCCTCTCACGACACGTGGCAGGGGATTTTGTACACGCTGTAGCTTGGTCATGGATTGGGATGATGTTGGTGAATCAAGAGCATGATGGAGTGCTCTTGGAGAAACTATATTTGATGATGGAAAGCGGCATACGCTTGTTAAAGATGAAAATTTTCAGTGAATGCACATCGCCTGCTGCGGATGGAGAACAATGACAGCTGACATTGAGGGTCGGGTAAAAGCTGAAAAGTACGCACGCGGGGACGGGAAGAGGCGTTGCACTGCGAGATAAACACGGGAACGTGGATCGGGGGTGAAAAAAAGAACATTAATGAGAGACGGTGGTGAAGTGGCATCAAATGGACAGAGCGCGAGGGTGATCACCGCGGAGTGCGAGGGTGATCACCGCACAGTGCGAGGGTGATCACCACAGGGAGGGAATGACGAGAGATTAGTTCAGACACAGGATGGATTGTCACATCGCAGGCCCGCGAGAAATTGATTACGGCATGGAGGCAGCTTTTATCCTGCAGTGGATAAACCATGGCTGGCGGTGACCTATACGGCCATCTTTGGAACATCACCTCCGATTAGCACAGTTGGTTACATACGGTGTGAAAGAAGTTCACCGTACCAAGTGGATTCTCCTCGTAGTTGTGCGTGTGTTTTTGCATCAGTCATATACGCTGACTTTGATGGTGTTGACCATTGAGAAAAGTTCACGATTGCGTTCAATGCACGCGATGGGAGTGAGGGAGATGTAGTGGTTACAACTCGCGTATGGGTCCCGGATTCAATTCTGTCCTCAGATATTCACAACATTACGTGAGTCGTAATAATTTTGTGTCATATATACCTGCATGTTTGGGGGAATGCGATAAGCGCTATGGTGTTGTTTACAGGGGTGGGTAATTTTACATCAACTCCATTTAAAAAAAAGATTAAATTTTCCTCTTCTGATAGGGAACCTTATTGGAGCCAAAAACGACTGCATGGGCAATACTTGGCCAATAAAAGAAAGATCTAAGACAAAGATACCCCATATAGCCTTTATAGGCTAATGGGCCAAGTTATGTTAGTACTCATCGATTACGGCCAGCATGGTGCATTGAGTGGTGGTGTGGCCATACCGGGCCACCTTTGTCTCCCCAGCGTTATTTCCACAATTTATGAGGTGTTCATCTCAGGCTGAGTCGACCCGGCGAAGGCCCATAATTAATCGGTTCAGATATCCGTTACTGTTATAAATCCGTCAGTGGGAATCAAACTCAGGATGCTGGGTTGAAGGGCACAGTGCGCGAACGATAACACAACAGCTCCGTATATAGTAATGATCTCACATGCACACATCTCTTAAGTTTAGTTATCCTTTTTATCTACAAAACCAGTCTGCTGATTGGACAGTGAACTTTGGTTTTGATGGGTCACTCAGAGCAACTCATATATTGCATGAATCCGTGCCTCCAATTTAAAATCTCTCAGAACGTCGAAAAGCTATCGCACTCTTGCCACGGGGAAGATAACTCCAAATCTTGGAGCTGTAATAACCATTTCAGCCTTCGAATTTTGCGAAAAATCATGTAAGTCGCGAAACTTTAAAAAAATCCAAATCACTGCAAATGCAGTACGCATATTATGCATGTGCTTTATTCGGCATGTGAAGCAAAGGCAGAAATGCAATAAACCAGGTTGCCATACGTTGCGCGGGTGATTGGAGCGCTTCCAGTTAGCCAGTTTATTCGTGGCAATTAATCACGATCGTTTTTCTTGCAATTATCTGCAACATTCACTTATGCATGAGTCCCTCATACGCCCCTTCGTCATTGGCAAGTGGATGTTATTGCTCGTTGTACATTTCAAAGACATCTGTATTCACTTCACATAATTGTGTGGTTTCTTTTAAGGACTCGTTATATGACGTAAGGTGAAATCAGCGAATCTGTACCTTGACGAAATGTAACAGTTTGCTATAAAATATCTCGGGCAATTATTTACTATGAATGTTACAATGCACACTCGAATATTTCCATTCGAAATAGCCTACGGCGTTGGCAAAAATACGATTGTGGCTTTTGCCATCGTCGATCGGATGGATGAGTCCGATTTCAAGATGACGCTATCAACTGTAGACCATGCAAATTCGCACGCATTTCTCTCCCGACCGCCCGCGGTCCATAAAACCTTCCCGACTTGCGCACACCGGGAGGAATTCAACGCTGCGCAATGTCCACCGAGCGCGAGGCTTTGCGCCACTGTCCGAGCCGAGCCGTTTGGCCCCTCTGGGGAGAAGTCTTTTTTTTTTTCGAGTTCAAGTTCAATGGAAAGTCGGGGTAGAGACTCGGCTGTGACCAAAACAGCATCTGCGAAGTAATTATTAGGTCACAAGCTTCCCCACCCCCCCCACGCCGCCCCCACCCCCCCCATTTCCCAGTGGTGCCGCCCTCTCTTTGAACGAGCCCGTTCTTCTGAGCTGAAGAAAAAAAATTAAAGAAAGAAAATCCAATGCAGCTTTGCAATTTCACTACACCCGCCCCCTCCGCATAACCCCCCACCCCGCCCTCCCTCCTGGCTTCCCCTCCCCAACCGCCTCTTGAAGCCCGTATCATGCCGGGTTGAAACGAACAGGCCAAAGACTGTAAATTAAAGCCCACTTCAGCTCTCCCTTCCGTGGCAGCAGCAGCAGCAGCAGAGACGGGCTTCTGACAGGTTGCCGATTGTGGTGGGTGAGCCATACCTGAGTTCACATGGGGGCCCCTCTGTGGACCGTAAACTGAGAGCCCCGACTGTTTTGACCAAAAACAAAGCTGTAACTGTGCCGCTGTGTGGCCTCGGGGGTTATTGAAGGAACTTCCACGGAAAGAAGCTCTCCAGACCTTCTTTAATGAAAACTTGATACTTTTTTTCTTTCTTTCTTTCTTTAATAACTAAAGTAATCCGCTGGCCATTTGATCGGTAGTTACACGCCGCTGTTTGGCACACTGGATGTATGGCTGTTGCTGTGTTTAAACACTTTCATCACTCCGCTCGTTGAGTTCTCGGTGTTTTGATCATCCGCCGCCCAGATTTGGGTCCCACCACGGCGTGTGACGAAACAATTAATTTGTCGTAGTTTCATTTCATTGATTTCGTCTGAAACGTAAGCAATGTACTGTATACCCGCTGAACGACTTATCCAAGAGAAATAAGCTTTTTGTTTCCACCTCGTCAGTGTTTACAATGTTGCCTTGAAGTGATTTAAGTAGACTATTGGAAAATTCCGCACCAAAGTTACGTACTTTTTCAGTTAATTTAAAGAGTAATGTGAAGTTCGAACAATACTTAATTCGGGAGTGTTTTGGCTTGTGATAATATAATTATTTGTTACGAATAATGTATTATTTAAGGTTGCTCTAATTCTGGGCTCTGACTAGCATTTTAGTTTTTAAAATAACTCATTATTTGAGTTAATTGTAACGGTTACTATTTTCTACAATGGCCTTTGGTGTGTGTCGAGTTACGTCTCTCATGATGTAAAAAAACCCCCACCTAACGCCTGCACACGAGTGGATTTCATCGCTCCATCTCCTCGATGGCCATGATCGCGATGATTAGTGTTGAATAAGAAAGTTATTTTTCATTTAAACTTGCACGAATGGTTGTAGAAAACAATTGACTTTTCTGGCGGTTGCAACGTACATGTTGTAAGGTAACACATAACCGTTGTTTCAAAGTACATTTATACTTGTTTTGAGCACCTTACTTCGCACAATTTACTTTTCACCTGTTCCACTGAAATTAAATGGTTTCCATCCGACCACAAAAAAATATATAATTGACATTGATGTGACAGGTAGGAAAGCACAACTTTGTTAACTTGAGAGAATTTTGCTATGTAAGACTTAAAGTTGCTTTTTTTTGTTTGCAGATATCTCAATAATAACAGGATTAAGGTATTGAGGCCTGCAAGTTTTGACACATTCGGTGCCACGCTAAAGATCCTAAAACTAAGCAATAATCGGATCACCGTTCTGACCACTAAACTCTTCCAGCTGCCTTCGCTCCAGCACCTGTGAGTATTTGATTTCAAAAACAATTGCACAATCCTTTCCACTCTTTCAAGTAGAATGTTTTTGCAGAAGTTTCCCCGGGATTTTGTTGAATTCAAGATGTACTGGATTTTTTGTTTTAGGCTCACAAACACATACTCCGAACACTTTATTTGCTCAATTTTACTCTCGTAACGGATTTTTTTGTGTGGGCTGAACAATCGCATCCAAACTCGTTTCCTGTTACGGGTAACTCCAAATGCGCGTTCGAGAGTGTCTTTAACTGTACCATTCCTTCGGAGCGCATGGGGCGGTCATGTGATCTTTTGATCGTGGACGTGATGACACATGACCCACGTTTGTTAAAACACGGGGGTGACGCCAAACTGCCTGTACAAACACAGCTGCGAAACATTGAGAAATAAACGGAGAAATTTGACCATTGTGCTGCTCGCTTTGAGAGCATTGCAGGACTCCCAACAAAAGGACCGAGCACAGAGCACACAGCATCGAGAGTGGAAAAAAGAGTCCCACTGCATTTTGGTCTTAGTAGTACATCTGGTTACAGACGCTGTAAAGCCAGGCACTGTAAACTTCGTGCTCATGGACATTCTGTATTTTGTATCGAAATGCCTCGACTCGTTTTTGGAAAGTTATTTTCTGTATGCGTTCAAAGTAAAAAAAAACAATATTCCACGGTGATGAAGCCTCCTTCGAATCGCACCGCAGTGATGGGGGCCTCCAGCCAATCAAGCCCGTATTGCAAAACACTGTCCAACACACGCAGGCACGCACGTACGGCACTGCTTGAACGTGGCTGAGTGCTGATGAACGGCCGTGTTATTCTGCGCGTGGAAACGTGGCGTTCTTTTTTTTCCTCTTTCTTCGTCCCTCTTCTTCTTTCTCTTTTGCAGTGACCTGAGCCGAAACAGGCTGCAGAGGGTGGAGGGTTTGGCTTTCTCCGAGCTCGCGTCGCTCGAGTACCTACGCCTGCAGCGCAACAGGATTTCCTCCCTCATGGACGGCGCCTTCTGGGGTCTTCACAGGATACAGAAAATGTGCGCCTCTCATGCCAGCCCACCCCCCCCACCCCCCCCCCCCTCTCCGTGTGTGACTCTACACGAACCCCTACCCCCCTCCCCCACCCCCCCCCCAATCAATCTTCCAATCCTTTCCCATTGCCGGCCACAAGCACCGACAAGATTGAGCCGTTTTATTTTATTTCCGGGATGCCAGTCAGAATGGGAATCTTTATTTAGACTGCAGGAGGGCGCCGCAGTGGCGAGATGTTCACGACCTCGCCTGGCCTACAGAAGTTTCCGGTTTCGATCCCGACCCTTACGCCTGTTGTGTATTTGGAGTCTGCAATGTTCTCCCTGTGGTAGTGTGGATTTTTCTCCGGGTCCTCGGGGTTATTCCCTCCGCATTCGGAAATCACGCGTTTCGAGCATTTGACTGCTTTAAATTCCCGCACGGTGATGAGCCACTTCATTGAGCTATCATTTGTGGTCAAGTCGCTTTTGAAAGGAAAAAAAAAGAGCTTTATATAGCGCAGTGGGCCTTACCTGCAAAGAATAGTTAAAAATAGCCTTCATACTTTCAGAAATCGGAATACCTTTCTTGAGCCTGCAGGATGAATCCGATGAGCTCCTTGAAGCTCTTTTTCTTTCACTGATGTCCAGTATGGGGCGGGTCAGTAACTTTTACAATGGCAAACAATTGCAAAGAAACGATAGCAGTGCAACATGCAGGCAATCGTAAGCAAATCACCAAATATACAAACAAATATACATGATGTCTGATTCATCGAGCTTGGGCAAAGCTGCAAATACAACAGCAAAACAGTCCCAGACCACGCCAAGACAACACGCAATGGCCCCTCAATAAAATGGCACATTGACATTGAATTATTGCTGCAAATCATATCTGCAACTGCTGTATAAAGCACGACGAATGATGGCATCCTGCCAAGGGTGCATTGGTTAACACGCACTGAGCGGGTGAGGTGAAGTGTGGGAACTCCCGCCTCCAGCGTGGAAGAATATTCCAAGCACACTGCAAAGCTGCTTTCTCGAGTGCCCTGCAGTGGAGGCATTTCCACCAGCAGTGGAGTGAGCAAGAAGTCTCTTGGCAGCAACGTCACCAATTCGCCATTTAGTCAAGAGGAATGATGCGTTCAAACATGAGTCGGGGATTTTTTTGTGATGCATATTGGGAGTGCTGCTTGCGTGCGACGTCCGCTGAGGGCTTCTGGAACCAAAGGGAAATCGTCATCAAAGTGGTCTGTACATATTCTTAATGGCAGAGGGTGGTCACTCACCACACGCATATTGAATACCTTTGTAAGCCAAACCGTGCTAATCGGAGGTGCCGGGGAATGGACGGTGTATTGGGATACCAATGTCATTACAGCATGAGAACATTGCACTGACTTCCTACAAGGTTTGTTGAACCACCGACTGATTAAGTTATGCACATAACAGATTGAACTCATTCATATTAATATTTGGATTAACCATGTTTTTTTTATATGCACATCTTGTCATCAAACATATTTTCAACCATCTCCTTATATAAACTTTCCTTACCCTTCTTCTTTGGTTCTTTCGGTAAAGTCACGTAGAATGAGAATAAAATAATAAATTGATAAAATAAAATAACACAATAATATTCTCACGACGTTTCGGCCACAACACAAGCGGCCTTCATCAGGTGAAGGGACGAGACTGTCTGGTATGTCCTATTCTCATTCTACGTGACTTTACCGAAAGAACCAAAGAAGATGAATCATTGCAGTCACGAAAGCTTTAAATCGAAATTTCCTTACCCTTGTTCTTTTTAATTGAGAATAATACTACTGTAATACTATAACATTATTGGTTTTAAGCTGGTACCGTAGTTAGGGCTCTCATTGCAAGTACATATCCCATGGTGGGCTCAGTCAGAGCTTGACTTAGCCCAATCATTCCTCTGTGGTTGATACAACGAGTACCCGCTTTGTTGTAAAAGTCAACAGCGGTTGTACGACGGAAAGAGCGGTCCCCCTTCACAAGACTGTGGATCTTGTCCGCTGCTAATTTGATCGCCACCGACAAGAGGCAAGCATTAAAAAAAAAACAAATTCGTAACGAGCGAGAGTGGGGCGGACGGGTGGCGTAAAGTTTTGATGGCTGTGCTCCCGTGCCCTGCCTCCCGCAGTCAGTTACAGCACAACAGACTCACGGAGGTGAGCACGGGGTGGCTGTACGGGCTGCAGTCCCTCCGCCACCTGCATGTGAGCCGCAACGCCATCACCGCCATGGACTCGGAGGCGTGGAAGTTCTGCGAAAACCTCTGGGAGCTGTGAGAAAAGCAACGACACCCTCCACTGATGCGCACCCATGGGGACACGGGTTACCGGGCAGTGCCCGAGCGGTTGGTTATTTTACGTGTGTGTGTGTGTTGATGTTGAGGGGGAGCGGCAGTGCAACAGTTCGTGCGCTATGAACACGGCGACCCAAGTTCAATTCCCGCTCACGGCCTACATCGCGGTGACGATTATCTGAACCGGTCCTGGGCCTTGCCTCGGTCAACTCAACCTAAAATGAGCTCCTGGTGCGGTGTGTAAACATCGCCACCAGGGAGACAAAGGCGGCCGGGAGTGGTGTTTGCCACCCACCCCCTCGTGTGCCGTGTCGGCCTTCATAGGTGCTCGCTAACAGCACTTGCCCCAACAGTCTGTAAAAGGCTATACGGGGGATCTTTTTACTTCCTTTGCTGATGTTACACTTTTTCCGCACGGTACGTAGCCAACCGTGCTAGTCGGAGGTGCCGGCTGACTGCCTTAGCTGCTGCCTTTCCTCCCCCCCCCCCCGCCCCCCTTTTCTGTGGTTCCTCCTCATGCCACGGAATCATTCTCGTTTTGACAATGTGGGAGGTGCTGCCGTGGCGCTACGGCTGAGAACACCGGGATTTCAATCCGCAAGGGTCGCCCGCGCGGTTCGGAAAAAAAAAAGAGCTTTGTAGGTCATTGGATTCTTCCAGCGTAAATGAATATCCCGATTCTGATTCGGTTTAACCCGGCGAGGACGTTGAAGCGTTGGGCAAGTTTCTAAAATCCCCACCTCTGCCCACCCCGCCATTATGAATGGGTACACCACGGTTAGTGGTTCGGCAGGCCGCATTTGGTAGGGTTAAAGTGTGCGCACTCCCGCCTCTGCAGAGATACATGGCCAGCGTGGAAGAGTAGGCCTAATACCCTCTTAGAGGTGTTCTCTAAAGACCCTCCTAAGTGGAAGCCCCTCGCGGCCAGCCATGGCGTGAGCAAGTGGGCCTTGCCTGGCGAAATAAAAATGGCTTTTAGTTTTAACGGGATTAAAGGGTAGCACCTTTATATTTGACCCAGGGTTATCTGAACCATTATCCACCATTACTAGATTCGGTGTTACCTGAAGTTATTGTGTTTAAACGTTGTGACCCAAGAAAACCTATCAAAAAACTAAAACTTCAAACATTTGCTGATTTCCATCATTGGAGACTGCCGTTCGCATTGTCACACCGTCTTGTCCTGCATGGGTAAATTCTTCTCAAGAGATCCCTGGTGCTGGGGAAATAACCGTGGTATAGATCCGTACTCCTTCACTACGTCACGATGCGTGGTCCATTTGGGAAGGCCCCTATCGTACGACATTACATTATGCACGCCATAACTTACAGTGCTCACGATGACACTATAAACACTAATTTCTTTGGAAATGCTTTTCGTGTTTAGTTTGCTCTCCTTCCCCACACCTCCAATTAGCATGGTTGGCTCCGTAGGGTGCGAAAGAAATTCAATATACATATACAGTGAGGGAAAAAAGCATTTGATCCCCTTCTGATTTTGTACGTTTGCCCACTGACAAAGAAATGATCACTCTATCATTTTAATGGTAGGTTTATTTGAACAGTGAGAGACAGAATAACACCAACAAAAATCCAGAAAAACGCATGTCAAAAATGTTATAAATTGATTTGCATTTTAATGAGGGAAATAAGTATTTGACCCCTCTGCAAAACATGACTTAGTACTTGGTGGCAAAACCCTTGTTGGCAATCACAGAGGTAAGACGTTTCTTGTAGTTGGCCACCAGGTTTGCACACATCTCAGGAGGGATTTTGTCCCATTCCTCTTTGCAGATCTTCTCCAAGTCATTAAGGTTTCGAGGCTGCCGTTTAGCAACTCGAACCTTCAGCTCCTTCCATAGATTTTCTATGGGATTAAGGTCTGGAGACTGGCAAGGCCACTCCAGGACCTTAATGTGTTTCTTCTTGAGCCACTCCTTTGTTGCCTTGGCCGTGTGTTTTGGGTCATTGTCATGCTGGAATACCCATCCACGACCCATTTTCAATGTCCTGGATCATTCAGATGTTCATTGGCAAACTTCAGACGGGCATGTATATGTGGTTTCTTGAGCAGGGGGACCTTGCGGGCGCTGCAGGATTTCAGTTCTTCACGGCGTAGTGTTACCAATTGTTTTCTTGGTGACTAGAGATCATTGACAAGATCCTCCCGTGTAGTTCTGGGCTGATTCCTCACCGTTCTCATGATCATTGCAACTCCACGAGGTGAGATCTTGCATTGAACCCCAGGCCGAGGGAGATTGACAGTTCTTTTGTGTTTCTTCCATTTGCGAATAATCGCACCAACTGTTGTCACCTTCTCACCAAGCTGCTTGGCAATGGTCTTGTAGCCCATTCCAGCCTTGTGTAGGTCTACAATCTTGTCCCTGACATCCTTGGAGAGCTCTTTGGTCTTGGCCATGATGGAGAGTTTTGAATCTGATTGATTGATTGCTTCTGTGGACAGGTGTCTTTCATACAGGTAACAAGCTGAGATTAGGAGCACTCCCTTTAAGAGTGTGCTCCTAATCTCAGCTCGTTACCTGTATAAAAGACACCTGGGAGCCAGAAATCTTTCCGATTGAGAGGGGGTCAAATACTTATTTCCCTCATTAAAATGCAAATCAATTTATAACATTTTTGACATGCGTTTTTCTGGATTTTTGTTGTTATTCTGTCTCTTACTGTTCAAATAAACCTACCATTAAAATTATAGACTGATAATTTCTTTGTCAGTGGGCTAAAAGTACAAATCAGCAGGGGATCAAATACTTTTTTTCCCTCACTGTACATACCATACTCAAACAGCAAATGCATGTTATTGCTTGTGACACCTCTTTCTAAAGGGGCGATGGCTATCATGCTCATAAGCGCTGCGCGTGTACATCGACTGCTGCTAAATGGCTCGAGAAACGTTATACTTCATCCTTGTGGGACCTGCTCACGGACATGGAAATGAGATCAGTTCGCTGTGGAAGACTCGGTTTTTTTTGGTTTGACTCGGTGTGTGTAAACACAGCTACAGCGAGGAGTGCGACAGAAAGTGCCATTCTGCCGATTGCCATAAACACGGAGCAAATTGTCCCCACGTGAGGCATTGTCCAAGCGTGTTTTAGAATGATGCATTAATCGTACATAAATATTTTGCACGAAAGTCGATGATTGCATTTTTTAAATACATTCCTTTTGTTGCGTGTATCATACAGCAACGTTTGCGCGGAAACAAACCAGGCTCCTGTCGTAAATTTTAAACAAACCCATGCTGTGAACAAACCTTACGATGAACCGTGCTGAATAATAATTGTAGCTTGAGCAAGGATGGATAAAAAGTGGAAAACTTGAAAAGCATTTTCGGGCCAAGTATTTTGTCCGTGTCTATTAAATATTCATCACAACGGCGTCCTATGTCATTTTCATCTCTGAAAACGTCTTGAACGCCCGCAAGCGTGGCAAAAGAATGATTCGCATAGTGTCCATTCCACCGGTCAAGGCAGAAGCCTTGTTTACTGCTGCTGCATTGGGTAGTTGGCATAGAATTTCCGACTGTTTCGCATTAGGCTCAGAGGCCAGTTTGTTGCCTCTAAGCTTTGCCCGGCTGACCATGCTTGACGTTTCTAATTATAAACATTGTGTATCAATGTTCTAATTAAAACAAATATGAGACCATATACATTTATAAATAATTTCTTTCAGCACCTGATCTTGAGAGTTAGGGCGACTTAGCTTCGTGCTTGTGTCATCACTGAGGCAGCACTGCTGGGATTCTGGGTGTAAATCCAGGGCTCGTACTGGAGAGGAGTTCTTCAGGTCTTCACGTGTGTAGCGATTTTGATGGTCTCAGCTCAGTGGATTCTGTACGAATGAAATGTGTCGCTGAACGTGCGACCATTAAGGAACTCGAAAAATATATATTTAGTGAGCGGCGCAATTCATTTTCTCACCGACTGACACATGCTCACATTTAGCCATTCGTTCTTAAAAAAACGTTGCATTTTCTTTTTTTATATCCTGGACATGCGAAAAAAATCCACAAACAGCGACATTTAAAAAGGAAATTGCCTAATTCCATGAGCAGAATCCTGAAAATTAAAAAGACATATATATTATATTATGCATCTATATCTTTTTAACATTTCCCGCACACATGTTTAATCTCCATTGTGCTCTCAGCACGATGTCACGAGCTGTCGCGTTGTCATCAACTCGGGTCTCTCGCAGAGCGGTGCATCCCTTCGTGTCAGAGAAGGGCCACAGGGAAGTGGATAACACAGAGCCACCTCTGGGGTCCCCTTCAAGTGACCCCCTGGTCCAAACGGTAGAGGGCAGCACTTCCGAAAGAGAATATGACGACTCAAATGTGGCTTTCCTGGCAACATTAAATTGTGTTAGTGTCAATCACTGCGTATTTATGAAGCGTTCTGTGTGTAGACTGGTCTGGTGCTAGATTCTCTCCTCCATTTTCCTCTGCTTCTGCTGCTCCTTTAATCACCACATGTACAATCAGTCAATGAACTTGAATTATAACTTGTTCAAAGTCTTCTTTGGCAAAGGATACCTGAGGTACACATCCATGAAACAGCGCAGTACAACTGTATTCAATTTCAGAAAGGAATCAAGACACCATGGTCAACCAAAACAATGATGGACCAAAACAGAAAAGCAATCGTCAGATAAATACAAAAACGGTGCAACGAATTACAGACAAAAAGCCACGGTGGTGACGACGCCGCTGCCTCCATTTACATTCCAGGGACCTCTCTCACAACGGCCTGACGCGTCTCAACGAGGCCGCGTTCGTCGAGCTGGGCGCCTTGCAGAGCCTCTCGTTGGCTCACAACGCCATCAGCCACATCGTGGAGGGAGCCTTCCGCGGGCTGTCTTCCCTCCGTATCCTGTGAGTGCCCACCGGCACCCCAGCCGGCCACAAACAGGGTTCCATTCGCCGTCGAGTTCAACACGACAGGGCACAAGCGCTAAACGATTTTATTTTCTTGCACGGGCTACGGTGTACCTTGCTTGGATTGCTCTGAGGTTGGAATGCTTAACTGTTGATCTGAAGGTTCTGATACTGCTGTGTCGGTATTCGTGGTTGTTCTGTATCGCGCTCCACTGTGTTTGCCTGGCCGTCTCGCTGTGCTGTATCGCACGATCTTCGACGTCTTGCGCCACGTGCCGACGATAGCTTGCTCCGGGAAGTGAGAGGGCGACCCGCTCAATTCAGTCCCTGCGGAAGCTTTCAGCGCGTGTGGGGCGAATCGTCGGGCGAATCGTCCCGAACAAGACGCGGGCACAGAACGGGGAATGGGAAGCTAGAACGTTCCGAATTCAACAGGCCTCTCACTGCTCGGCATTGCCGACGTTAGCTCGTTATGTTCATTTGGTGTCTGCGCAGCGGTGACTTTTTTAGTATCCATAATAAAGCCTACGCATTAAACTGGTCCAAATACCAGCCGGGTGTGGGAACTTGCCAGTGGCAGATTGCAGAGACGCGAGTTCCATGCCCGTTCACGGGTTGAACCCATTGACCCTCCGCATTCAATGTAATGAGTACCACGTCATGAGAAGGCACCAGTGGCACCAGTAGTCGTCCTTTGGAGAGGTCGACCTGACGAAGTCAATGCGGATTTTCCACCGTCGGTTCAGGCATGCCAGTAGATGTGATCCCCGGTGATCCTCGCAGTAACAAAGACGGTCGCAGCGACGCGCTGCACTTGCAGATGCGCTTCTGCGGCCGTCCGGAACGTTCTTCCTTCCGATATTAGGAAGCTACTGGAGCTGTGCACTTTTAAAATCTAGATTAAAAACTAATTTCTTTTGAACTGATTTTTGTGTATGATAGAGGTTTTTTGGGGTTAGATCGCGTAAATATATAAATGTGTCTGTCGTTAAAACCCGCCACCACCCGACACAGCCAACTAGTAAGGGTTGTCAATTAAACAGAACGTGGCCAATTCGTCACTAGTACAGCACACCGGTGTGTTGGAGAACCAAGCCACAACATTTACAAACTGAGTACGACGATTCGCCAGTAATTACAACTAGCTTCATCAGGCGACAGCCAGATTTGTGGAGAAGGCCACCTGTTTCGTTCCTTATATAGAGGCGTAGGTGTGGTGACCACGCTTCTGCGCTCTTGTGGCACGTGGGGAGGGGGGATTACTGAGTCAACGTACATTATGCATGTGCATTATGCGAGGCCTTTGAACTTGTCCTTCCTGTCTATTGTGTGTATTAAACTAGCCCCACCAACGGTAATCCCTATTGAAGTACGCTGCCCTTTGTAGGCATGCATTTAAATAATGTATCACTTGATGATTCCCTTCCACGTAGCACAAAGGCGGTAGCTATCCGAATGGTCAAAGTATTTTTTTTCTTTCAATTCCGATATATTCTCTAATTAGTCTTGGCCAGTTGTAGCTAGTTTTGTAAAGAACTGCAACATCATCAAAATCAATTGAGTGCCCTTGTTGGCACGCGTGTTCTGCGACCACTGACAGTTGTATTTAGGAGAACTAGCTACTACTGGCCAATACTAATTAGATAATCTATCGGAATAGATTATATAACTATTAATATTACTGTCTCATTTTATTGTAAACAATTATGCACGTATATTGACAATTGTTGCGGGAAATTAAGTACAGTAATGGGCTTTCAAAATGCTTTGCTTCCGCGCACTCTGCCTCCAGTACATTAGCACAAGTTTCTGTTTCGGTGAATTTTCTATAAATATATTATACAGCAATAGCGCAAAAATAGTTTGAAAGGGAAAATATAACCGTTTGGGCCGACGGCTTTTTCCAAATCGTGATTTCCCCTTTGGCACCCGTGCCGCACGCGAGACGCGGTCCGTTTTTCTTCACGTCCACCTTGAAATCGCCTTCGAAAAGGCGCGGACGACGCGCGGGGTAGCGACGTGGGCACTTGTGACCGAACGCGACAGCAGAGTCAAGGTGGCGGGGGTGGGGGTGGTGAGGGTGGTGCAAATATTTCTTGAGCAAGACTGAATAATTCCCTGAGCGGGGGACACTTGAAGGAATGTGACCTCGTCTGTGTGCTAATGTGGTTAAGTGATTATCCAAGGGTTCGACTCACTCGGCTCAACACGATGCCACTGCTCATCGGGATTGACTCTTGGCACCGTGCGCTCCGTGCAACTGCTCGCAGGGATTTGGGAGGCAACCAGATTTCCTGGACGGTGGAGGACATGCAAGGGGCATTCACGGGTCTCAGCGCCTTGAGCAAACTGTGAGTGTCGCGCGAATGTGAGCACGTGTGACCCGACTGAGAGCAACGGCAGTGGTCGCCAGGCACGGGCAAAACCGTGGACTGGGTTTCATCCTCCTTTAGGACTCGTCAGCACGGCGTTGTTACAAATGAGCACCGGTGACTGATGAGTCCCACGAAACCGGCCGGCAGTTGTCCATCACGGCAACACTGCTGCGTGCTGCTGCTGCTGCTGCAGTGTTGCTGTGGTGGCCCAAGACAAGAGGACCACAATGCACTTCTTCAGGAAATGCCGATGTGTTTTGCATGATGCATGTAGGCCGTCTGCTTTCGACATATTTTTGCGTGCTGCCTAACCCAAGGTGCAATGGGGTTGCAGTGTAAAGTTTATTTGAACTAATAACAAAACCCAAAGTCAAGCCCGTGGCTATACTCGTTACTAAAGGAACCCGTGTATCATATGAATACAATTTGGATTTACAATGCATCTAAATGGAATTGCATACACAATAATGTGGGGGGGGGGGGGGGGGATGGGGCTGGGGGGGGGGGGGGCACGTACTGAGAGGAGAATGACGATTGACAATGAACGGTAAGGTTGTGGTGGAGGGAGGGGAGGGGGGGAGTTTGATGAATAGACATTGTCAACCAAGGGATGGGTGAGAATAGAAAGACTTGAGCCGAAGGACCTCCGATGAGCATGGTCGGCTACATATGGTGCGAAACAAGTTCAACGTACGCACATAGATGCAGTGAGAGTGAGTCAGCAGTGTGTACTATTAGTTCAAGACCTTGCATCAATGAAGAGGAGAAGGGGGCAATCTTCCTTTGAGCATTGTTCGACTGGGGTTAGTCAACAGAGTGCTTTGTTTGCTGAAGTTGTGGCCACGTGGGGGGTGGGTAGAGCGAGATGAAAGGGGACGGGTTAGAGGCGGGAGTGAGTCCACGGAAGATCGAGAAGATGACGACGACGATGATGATGGCGGTGATCCTGTTCAATAGTGGATCCCGATTTAGATTTTTAGCCGGTGAAATTATCTGAGAAGCTTGAGGATTAAGTTGACATGGGGCGAGTGTGGGTAGCAGATGAGAAGTTTAATAAAGAGTAACAAACGTGAAGATGATTATAATATTATACCGTCACAATTAAAATACTCTGAGGGAATATACTTGTAGGCACTCGCATATTAATGCACAGGTAACCACGGCAAATGATGGGAGCACAAGTGAAAGTGCATAATCGATCCAGGTACACTGGAACTGTCATACACGTGCACATGCGAGGCGCGCTCACCTTGAGTATACTGTGAGTGCTGCGAAAATGTGCGCAACTGAGAACGGCAGCAGTGGACGCAGTGATTGGCAAACCGTGGAATGGGTTTCATCCTCCTTGAGTACTCGACGGCACAGTCGTTTGAGCAAAATTGCAGTCTCGATGCAGATACACTGGAACTGTTATTTAACACGTAGACTTTCGCGACCAATATTATTCATAATAAACCTTTTTTGGGTTAGATGAGTTAAATGATGACGTCACCCTGCTGCTCTATTTAAGACCGGGAGCAAGTGGGGGCTTCACCATTCTGGCGAATTGCCCGATGATGCTGGATGTAATCACCAGCGAAACGTCGTACTCAAAAACTGTAAATGTTGTGGATTCACCCTTCAACACACCGGTGGGCTAAAGTAGTGAACTATTTGTCTTGTGTCAACGTGACACTTCTTTGCTTATTGGTGTGTCGGGTGGTGGAGGGTTACGACACATTTATAAATAACGCGATCTAACCCAAAAACTTTATTATGAATGGAACTGTTATAACAACAACCACCATTCGCCACTAAGTGATGGAGATGTCACCACGCCGCCTGTGCCAGGCCAGGTGCACTTTAAGGCCACATAGAGTGTCGAAGGCTCGCTGACAGGAGGGCGCGGGACAGACCCCGGTGCCATGGGTTGGCTGACTGAGATGACTGACTTTTATACAAAGATCAAAGATCCCCCATATAGCCTTTGCAGACTGTAGGGGCAAGTGCTGTTAGCGAGCGCCTATGAAGGCCGGAACGGAACACGAGGGGGTGGGTGGCCTGCACCACGCCCGACCGCCTTTGTCTCCCCAGTGGCGATGTTTACACACCGCACCAGGTACTAATTTTAGGCTGAGTCGACCTAGGGGAGGCCCGGGACCGGTTCAGATTATCGTCACTGGTGTTAGCCGTGAGCGGGAATCGAACCCGGGTCGCCAGGTTCATAGCGCAGGGCGCTAACCGCTACACCACCGCTCTCCACTGACTCTTATGCACACAGACACACACAGGCACATTTAACCGCCTCCGCCGTACTCGATACCACAAACTCCAGTTCCATCTTACCACTCGTAAAATAGTGCGAAGGGAAGAAGGCATTGTTAAATGAAGGTCAATTGGAGCCTTGGATGTTGAGGTTTCTCATCACTGTGCACTCAAATGCCAATGAACCAGGGGGATCCCAGAATGCAACTTAACATCACCCATTCCACGAAAGGTTGCAGTCCTCCTTGGCCCGGCTTTTGGGGCAGAAGAAAGTATTTCGGGAAATAAAGCTTTCCTTTCAGTCGCAGCCTCTCATTAAATATGGATGAGTTGTGGAAAAGGGTAACTGAAGCCAACCCGTGCATGACAGCACTTCAAGAGGGTGTCCGAGATGCGAATCGCCGTGCTGACATCATTCCGCACACAAAGAAACGACTTTGTCAATAAATGTGAAGAATGCGGCCCCCATTGCCGGGTGTGCGTAACACGCGCGTCTTTTTTTTTTCACGGGCACAATTATAGCGTTGTTATCGTTATTGTGGAGGCTTTTTATTTGTTCGTGACGCATTTTATTTGATTCGCCATCTTTTTTTGGCCCATCTCCAAAGTTGTTCGATGGTAATTTAGTCCGTCTCGGGCTCATTAATATGCATGTGGACATTTCGTAATGTGAACGCAGATGCCCCCTGTCTAGACGCGATGATAATACTTGGCAAATTTGGCATTTGGGCGTATTTTAAATGAGTAGTCAAAACATTGGAAATATGTTTAAGTCGGTAAGGTTACCAGCTGGTCTTTACCACCAGGTTTGTAAATATCCCCAAGTGAAGCATGAATCTGCATATTCGCTTTGTTCTTGATCTCTTCAATATGTTTGTTTATTAATTTTTGTTCATTAAATTTTCTTGCTGTGGTTTTCACACCTGATGATGATTGCTTGTGTTGCAGTCGAAACGTCGTGAGAATTTTATTGTTTTATATTTTTATTATTTTATTGTTTCCCTTCTACGTGACTTTACCGAAAGAACCAATAATATGAATCCCTGCAGTCACGAAAGCTTTAAATTAAAAAAAATGTTTGTTTATTGTTTGTTTGTTTAGTTGTTGAGTTGGCTGAGCCAAAAATGGTCAAGGACCATGCCTCACTTGTCACCCAGGCAATTGGATAGCACAGACTTAGATGTTTCTCGACTCATCACTATACCAAGAAATAATTACATTTATTTAAAAACGCACAATTAGTAAAGAACAAATGTACAATTTAAAAGAAGAATTAAAACTACATATATTTATTTTTACAACTTGAAATCATATCAATGATTCTGATGCTGTCTGGGACACTGTTCCATTATTGAACCAGGCCCGCTGTTTGAATCACCGGTTTTGAACCACATGATCTCCCAAGGGGTACACAAGTCGCAGGTTTAAGTGCAGTCCCTGAATGTTGTCTATCGTGGTGCGGTGCACAAAGTAAATTTTCCCTTCACGTGATAGAAACGTTGGTGAAATAAAGAACCTAGGTAAATAAACGGGAAAGAGTTTATACGATGGCCTCGTAACATATTGCACGCAACTTAGCTCCCAGACAGTCTACTATCCTCCACTAGCCGGCTACAACAAGCCTTTATTATTAATTACAGTAGACATACAACAACCGCCATTTGCCACTAAGTGGCCATGACGTCACCACGGCGCCTGTGCCAGGACATGTGCACTTTCAAGCCACGTGAAGTGTCGAACGCCCGCTGGCAGGTCACGGGACAGACCCAGATGCCATGGGTTGACTGACTGAGATGACTGGCCGATGCACCATCTGTGCCCCCTTACTATGCCAACTTGCTGTGTTTTACTGCATGAATAGTCATATACAAACACACGCATGCAGGACAAACGGTTGTAAATTACTTGTTTTTGCAGTTTGGTGTTCAAAACCATTTTTGTAAATACATTTATAGTCCCAAAGCCATGTGTTTTTATAGTAACCACAAATCACATTACGACGTGGATAATAATTCACAAATTATACACTCTTGTTGGTTGCACCGCGGGTCCGTGAGCAATGGAAAAGGCTTGGAGGAGACCTTCATCCAGCAGCGGATTGATGATGGATACTGCCGAGGAACAATTTTACATAGTTGATGTCAAGGCTCATAGGCTGAGATACAGATGTCTAATTTTCGACAAAGTTCTGACTGAAGTGGAAACAATCGTAAATAATGGCAATTATTACGGGTTGTGATACATGTGCTTTGTTATTATACTTTTTTTTGTTCTCAACAGAAGCCTGCATGGAAACCAGATAAAGTCGATTGCTAAAAAGGCCTTTGTCGGACTGGAGAGACTGGGACAGCTGTGAGTACCATGTGGGTGGTGCACAACCACCCCTCTCTGGAACTCTAATCGAGGCCTGCCTGTTAAAATAAATCACTGCATCGGCATGTGTATCTAAGAACACCTGCTCTGCAGTCGGTATTATAGGCATTAGTAGTAATTCTGAAAAATAATTGAAAAAAAGTTGGTACACCATGTGTTGTGAGCATGTGGGGAGCGGTGGTGTAGGGGTTAGCGCTACGCTGCGCGTCGATTCCCGCTCACGGCCGACACCAGTGAAAATTATCTGAACCGATCCTGGTGTGTGGTAAACATCGCCACTAGAGAGACGAAAGCGGCCGGGCGTGGTGCTGGCCACCCACCCCCTCGTGTGCTGTGCCGGCCTTCATAGGTGCTCGCTAACAGCACATACCCCAACAGTCTATAAAGGCTCTACGGGGGATCTTTTTGTCTTTGTATATGTGCACGAATTGGGAATGGTTGGGTAGTCATTAGTGGACTCCACACTAAGCTCTTGAAAACCTGGGTTTGATTCCCGACCATGCAAGACAATTGAGGCTGAACTTAGTATTTTGCAGAATGGGTTTGCATGAACACTTGGAGACAAAGGCTGCCAACAACAGATATGTGCTGGGCCTAACCACGCCATTGTGTGGTGTGAAAGCCTAAATAGGAGTTCGCTAACAATTAATCCAAACGCTATGTCATGCTAGTCTGGAGATAATTATCTTTTAGAAAATTATGTTTTGCTACGTATCATAAATTTGCTATTGAATTATATGCTTGGTTTCATGGTTACTTAAGGAACTGCATTTGTGTAAATACAGAATGGACTGCCTCATACTCGCTGCATCTCTCTGTATGCGTATCAAGCAAAACAATAAAACTGATTAATGCAAATTGATTAGTATTGATATTAATATCTGAATTCTGGCATGTATGTACAATGTGGATACTGTTATTACATTCCTAACCTATAATTCCTTCTGAAAGTATATTAAAACAATTAAAAGCAGCTGTTTCTACATTTCACGAAAAACGTAATTTTAATTGATACAGACGCTGCATATTATGCTGGTTATTTTTATACCTTTTTTATGAGCCACTTACATCTGCAATGTTAGTATGTATTTTGTATTCCTCTGCTATGGGTACCGTGGTGGTGAGATGTTAACGCCCTCGCATGGTATACACGAGGTTGTGGGTTCGATCCAGACCCTGACCTCTGTATATTTGGAGCTTGTGTGTCTCTTTCCTCGTGGTCATGTGGATTTTAATCATTCCCAGGTGATAAGCCGCTTCTTTGTGGCCAGGTCACTTCTAACAAAGAGCTGCATAGCTCAGTGGACTTTACTTGTTAAAATAAAAATGGTTTCGTTTTAATGGTTTCAGATTATTCTTCTTCTTCCACATCTCGCAACATCTTTATTCTCCTTCAGAGACCTGATGGGCAATGCAATCGTGTCAATACAAGCCAACGCCTTCAACACCCTCAAGTTGCTTCATCAGATGTAAGTATACTCAGCAATATAGTTCTACGTCGTATCTCGTTTAAGGTCAAAGCAAGGTCAAAGTGTTTTGTGCTTCAGAGGAGCGGCTGTGACAGTGCTCAACTCTGAGTCAGTGTCACACATTCCACATCTACCGAATGTGGGGCCCAGTCTCTATTCAAAGAACAGCCACTGTTGACTTTCCAAAACAGCAGCACTGGCTTTATCGACCATTCAGAATGATGGGGTAACACTACGTAACACAATTTTGGTTCCTGGGTAGTAAGTGTTATTTCCTAATTGCTTATACGTAAAAAGTATAGAAAACGGCTATTATTCCCCACAAACTTTGCTTTTGTGACCAGGACAATGATATTTTGAAATTGACCTATTTTCAATGACAAAACGGGCGAATTGGTGTCTTTTCGTTCACATAAAGTGAGAAAAAACAACATATGAATCAAACCTGTATTTATGCTAAAGTAATATAAAATGACCGCAAAATATTTTGAAGTGAGTAGTTATTCGAGATTGACGATTATACTGTAAATCACTTTCACGAATCAGTACCCAAATGTAGTCTACCATCATGCTCTCGTTATACTGTCCTTGGTAGCGGCGTTCAAAGTCCAGTATATCCTGGTGGAAGCGCTCGCCTTGCTCCTCGGAGTACGCTCCCATGTTCTCCTTGAATTTATCAAGATGAGCATCAAGGATATGGACTTTGAGGGACATTCTACAGCCCATTGTGTCGTAGTTCTTCACCAGTCTCGACCAGCTCCACGTAGTTTTCGACCTTGCGATTCCCCAGGAAGCCACGAACCACTGCGACAAAGCTGTCCCAAGCTTCTTTATACTTACTAGTGAGCTTCTTGGGGAATTCATTGCACTACAGGATCTTCCTCATCTGTGGTCCGACGAAGACACCGGTTTTGACCTTTGCCTCAGGCAGCTTAGGGAAGAAGTTTGGAAGGTACTTGAAGGCTGCCGACTCCTTATCTATAGCTATGACAAATTGTTTAATAAGGCCCAATTTGATGTGCAGTGGTGGCATCAGCACCTTCCGGGGGTCCACCAGTGGCTCCCACTTGACGTTGTTCCTCCCCACAGAGAAATCGGTCCGCTGTGGCCAGTCCCGCCTGTGGTAGTGCGCCTTGGTGTCTAAATCTTTTGTAGACATTTTAGTATTACTGCATTTTAGTTTAAATACATGTTAATTTTGATTCATATGTTGTTTTTTTCTGACTTTATGTGAACGAAAAGACACACATTCGCCCGTTTTCTCATGTAAAATAGGTACACTGTCCTGGTCACAAAAGCAAAGTTTGTGGGGAATAATAGCCATTTCCTATACTTTTGATGCATAAGCAATTACGAAATAACACTTACTACCCAGGAACAATTTTTTTGTTACAGTGTAATCCTGACGTTGTGACCACAGTGCCACATTGCTCGAACTATGCGGGTTTAGTGGTGCTCGAAATGTAATTTGTTTTACAACCTCCATTCATAATTGTAAATGACCTCCATATGAATTCAATTAACCTGATTTTATGATCAGTTAAAGGCGTTTTCCCACTTTCACTGAAGTTGTTTTACAAACACAGCACTATTTCAGTGTACGAAGTATGTGCACAGATTCCCATACAAAGACAAAGATCCCCCATGCAGCCTTAAGAGGCTCTTGGAGCAAGTGCCTTCATAGTGCAGGAGGACTATGAAAGCCGGCACGGCACACAAGGTGGTGGGTGGCCAGCACCACACCCGGCTGCCGTTGTCTCCCGAGTGGCGGTGTTTACACACCGCACCAGGTACTCATTTTGAGGCTGAGTCGACTTGGGGGGGGGGGGGGGGGGGGGGCTGGACTGGTTCCGATAATTATCACTGGTGTTGACCACGAGCGGGAATCGAACTCGGGCAAGCCGGGTTCGTGGCGCAGCGGGGAAAACCGTGACACTACCGCTCCCCACGCGCACACACGCACACGGCATGCCACACGCGCACTTGCCCACACACGCGCACACACAACGGGCACGTCTCCACGTACCCATAGCAATAATGCTTTCTCGAAGGAGAAACTCGACGGAGTGAACTTGTTGATTGCTGTATTAGAAGCTCTGTCGTGACTTTATTGGCATTTGGCCTGAACAGGATTTTTTTTTCTTCATCCCTGACCCAAAACCCCAGAAGGGAAAAGTGGTTTCATTCCGTGTGGTTTTTTTTTATTTCCGTCTCTGTTGTTGACGTTGCTACAAGTTGGCGAGTCTGATGAATGTGTAGATGAGCATACAGATATGTAACAAGTTAAAATGAATGCGTAATCTGGCTTCCAAATATTAGTTACATAGCAATGCAGTGGCAATAGTGGAAAGTTACATTAAAAGTAGGGCAGTGATAATAATGAAACGTTACATTAAAAGTAGGAGACTCTGTGCCGCCTTCAATGCATAGCCCGCGCGCGCCAAGGTCACAACCCGAATTTTGCCAAGTAACAAAAAAAAGTCGAATGAGAATTGCGCTTTTGGGTTTCGGGCAGATTGCTAAAGGTGAAAAGCACGGTCCTGTGCTAAAGTGGTAATCCTTGTGTTACAGCGATCGCTCAGGCCCGGTTCGTGAACCGGCCTCCTTCGTGCGTTATTGATCCTCTGCGATCGAGTGCGTGTGCGCGTGTGTGTGTTCCCATTCCCTGGACTGCCCTAAGCCGCGTGAACCCTGGTCGGCTCTCGCGTCGTACCGCGGCTCCGGCGTGCTGTGGCCAAAGCGCACATTCCCTGCGCGCTCGCAACGCTGTTGGATGGACCCGAGTGTGAAGTGAAGATCGTGTATTGCACGGATCCATTATCAGCTCCGCTTTGTGCACACGCACGCACGTCCGTACGAACTTCTTTTCGCACCGTGCGTAGCCAACCGTGCTAATCGGAGGTGACTGCGTACTGCCCAGCTGCTGACTTTCCACCCTTTGGCTGTGGTTCCTCCTCATACCGCTGAATCATTACCTCGCTTTGAGAATGAACGGATACTGTGCCCTCTTTGCAAGTTTGAGATTTATCAGGGGTTGCGGGGGAAGGACAACAAACTAAACAACAAGCGGTTCTAATGTGCTCGCATTCACAGTTGCCGTGCATCTTTGTGAAAGGATTGTGTGTGTGTTTGTGTTTGTCTGCAAGTACATGCAAATGCTTATCAATAGATAATTATCTATGCTGGTTAAAGGTGTGTCTATCACCTGGCTCTTAGAGTAACTGATCTAACGATGAAACTTATTTGGTTTTATCTTCCTGTGACCTGAAAAATCATCACGGTTTGGCGATATTTCAAGTATAATGTCGAACATCATTGCTGAAGAAGGTGAATGTTCTAGTCGTTAAAATCCTTATTCAGTTTCAGTTTATTTTCAGTTTCTTTATTTGGTATAGCCCTGTGAGCCATTCGGCTCTTGAATCGGGTGCAACCGCAACAAACAAAAAAACAAAAACACGAACAAGAAAAACATCTTAAAGTGACTATGTGACTGTGCAAACAGAAAATCCATGAAAAAAAATAGCAAAATATTCCTGACAAAAGCACCGTACACCAACGCTGTGTGCAAAAAATCCCAGTGGGATGCAAGTCAAACAACAACAACAAACACAAGAAAACTTAGATTAAGGCCATCAGTCTAACTCCGTACTACAACAAAACAAACATGTCCAAACCAAAAAAACGTTTTGGAAATCACCAAAAAATAAAGCCATAATTGCAATGTAACATTGATCACAGGGACTGTAACAGTGCTCATAGGAACTGGCTCCATTGGGCTCTAGGTTGACAGGAAGGTTGCATCGACTAGACCAAGATGGTATAGTTGTGAAAAAGAAGTTATTATTTTAATTATTAGAACTTACATTATTTTCAACAACTTGAATTGTACTCGTTCACTTCTCTGGATTGATTATTGCAAAAGCCAAAGCTCATACACAAAGGCAAAGGTTAGCGAGCACCTGTGAAGGCATGAACGGCACACGAGGAGGTGGGTGGCCAGCAACACGCCCGGCCGCCTTTATCTCCATAGTGACGGTGTTTACACGCCGCACTAGGTACTCCTTTGAGGCTAAGTCGATCTAGGGGAGGCCCAAGACCGGTTCAGATAATCGTCACCTGTGTTGGCCGTGCGCGGGAATCGAACTCGGGACCGCTGGATTCGTAGCGCAGCGTAGCGTTAACCTCTACACTGCCGCTGCCTACAATAGACATCTAGACGCACGCACACACGTGCACAAGTTACACACATACGCAGTACGGTCAAACAGCTTGTACATGCATGGCAGAATCAGTGTAAAATTCCTTGGGGAAATTCAGTGCAGTGTAGCTTTTCCCCCTCTTGTTTCCATGGCCAGCTCAAGGATCCACATTTTCCCCCAGCCGACATTCATAAGAGGGCTACGCTGTGTAGCTGCAGCAGTAGCAGCAGCAGTATCACATGGTTCAGTGCTGACGAGGCCAACTCACTTGGCCTCACACTCGAGAAGGACCAGGTTTGTCTCTCCCCGTCAAGGCGACTGCCGAAACCGTTCGTGCAAGTTTCTTCACTGAAACCACGCGGTGCTGTTTTCCACTTTTGAAGGAGCCAAACAAGTTATTTCGTGGTTCACCAAAAAAATATAAACAAGTTGTGGTTTTGCTGTCCACGGTGTAATGATTAGCACACCGTATTTGCCGTGCAAGGGTTGTCGGTTCAATTCGATGCCCGGGCGTGGCAGCTGAATCGACGGTGCAGATTTTTCTTAAATCCCCACCCAGGCCACTGCCTTTGACTACACGGCGGTAGTGGTGGTGTAAGATGTCGGTACTTCCCACCGCTTCCAAGACATGTGTGACCTGCGTAGAAGAGACGGGCAAAATATCTACCCGACGTATGTACGTACGTTGAACTTCTTTCGCACCGTATGTAGCCAACGGTGCTCATTGGAGGAGCTTTCCAGAGATCCCGACAGCGGGGGTTCCTTCCACCAGCAGGGTCATGAGCAAGACATTTCGGGGCTGTACCCTTCTTAACTTTTTTTTTTACAAAAACAACGCAGTTTTAAATAAAACTGTTCAACTATTATATAAAAAAAATATTTACCAGGTAAGGCCCACTGAGCTATATAACTCTTTTTTAGAAGCGACCTGGCCACAAATGATAGCTCAACGAAGTGGCTTATCACGTGGAAATTAAAAGCGGTCAAATACTCTAAATGCACGTTGATTCTAAATGTGGAGGAAAAACCGTGACCATGGGGAGAATACGCAAACTAAACTCCAAATATACAGCAGGCGTCAGGGTCGGGATCGAACCCACAACCTCCTGCATTCCAGGCGAGGTAGTTAACATCTCCTAGCCACCGTGGTGATGATGATAATGAGAGACACGCAAACTCCACATATACAGCAGACGTCAGGGTCAGAATCGAACCCACAACCTCCTTCATTCCACGCGAGGTAGTTAACATCTCCTAGCCACAATGGCACCCCTTCAGTGAAACCCGGGGAGGGGGTGGGGGGGTGGAGGTGGTCTTGTAGTGGGGCGAAGCGACTCGCACACTCGCTGATCCGTTTGAGCACGCGGGCTAAAACAAACCCCGTCTAAAGAGGAGGCCCACCCGTCCACGTGACCAATCTCGCTCATTCTCTCGTCTCCTGCGCCGGCGCCGCCGCCGCCGCCGCCGCCTTAGGAAGCTGAACACCAGCGAGCTGCTCTGCGACTGCCAGCTGAAGTGGCTGCCGGGCTGGCTGACGGAGCGCGGCTTCGCGCAGTCGGTGGCCGTCGCCTGCGCCCACCCGGCGTGGCTCAAGGGGAGGAGCGTCCTCTCCGTCCGGCAGGAGAACTTCGTGTGTGGTGAGCGACTGCGGACGCACCACGCCCACGTGCGTAGTACGTGGGCGTGGCGGCTGGGGTACCACCACAGTAGGCACGCACGCACGCACGCGTGTACGTAGTGGCTGGGTATAAGCCTGAACAAACAGACTGTTGGGGCAAGTGCTGTCAGCGAGCGCTTATGAAGGCCGGAACGGTGCACGAGGGGGTGGGTGGCCAGCACGACGCCCGACCGCCTTTGTCTCCCCAGTGGCGATGTTTACTACACCGCTACACCAGGTATTGATTTGAGGCTGAGTCGACCTAGGGGAGGCCCAGGACTGATTAAGATAATCGTCTCTGGTGTTGGCCGTGAGCGGGAATCGAACTCGGGTCGCCAGGTTCGTAGCGCAGCGCGCTTACCGCTACATTACATTAAGATCATTGACAAGATCCTCCCGTGTAGTTCTTGGCTGATACCTCACCGTTCTCATGATCCTTGCAACTCCACGAGTTGAGATCTTGCATGGAGCCCCAGGCCGAGGGAGATTGACAGTTCTTTTGTGTTTCTTCCATTTGCAAATAATCGCACGAACTGTTGTCACCTCCTCACCAAGCTGCTTGGCAATGGTCTTGTAGCCCATTCCAGCCTTGTGTAGGTCTACAATCTTGTCCCCGACATCCTTGGAGAGCTCTTTGGTCTTGGCCATGGTGATAGTTTGGAATCTGATTGATTGATTGCTTCTGTGGACAGGTGTCTTTTATACAGGTAACAAGCTGAGATTAGGAGCACTCCCTTTAAGAGTGTGCTCCTAATCTCAGCTCGTTACCTGTATAAAAGACACCTGGGAGCCAGAAATCTTTCTGATTGAGAGGGGGTCAAATACTTATTTCCCTCATTAAAATGCAAATCAATTTATACCATTTTTGGCATGCGTTTTTCTGGATTTCTTTGTTGTTATTCTGTCTCTCACTGTTCAAATAAACCTACCATTAAAATGATAGACTGATCATTTCTTTATCAGTGGGCAAACGTACAAAATCAGCAGGGGATCAAATACTTTTTTTCCCTCACTGTACGTACATACGCACGTACGCACACACGCTCTCCGGAGCTGCGAGGTGGCCCTTTGGAAGAGGGTGCAGGAAGTAAGGTTGCTGAGCTATTCGAGGAGGGTTTTAACCTTACCCTGTCAAGTTGACCCTTTCCCCTTCCGAGTTGCAGGGTGGGCGTCCCGTTCACCTCTGAATCACGGAACGCACAAGCGGTTCAGCGTTAACGGCGTAGTGCCGTTTTTTTTTTTAAAGACATTGTACTTATCGCAAAGAACCGCACTGTGCACACACGCCCTACCGCCATGGCCTTGTGGGAGCCTCGGCATCGATAGTTTTTTAAATTATAGTTTTTCCTCCGGTTTCGTTTTGAGAACATACACGTGCGGTGACGTCATCGTACGTCATCGCACGCGCGTGTCATTCTACGTCGTCGTACATATGTGTACGTCATCGTACGCCATCGTACGATGACGTCATCGTACGTCATCGTACGCGTAAGTCGGGAATGGGTTAATAGGTGCAGCCAACGCTGGCAGAAGGGGCTTCCACTCGAGGGGAAGCTCTGGAGAGCCCCCCCCCCCTCCCCCCCGGTGTATTCATTTGGCCGACTCTTCCACACTTACCAGACAATCTGTGCAAGGGGTGACAGTACCCTCCACATTGCGACCTGCCAACAGACTCGACCGATGCGTAGGTTGTGATTGGACGCTGGAATATTGCAAAGTAATTCATCGTGATTTTGTTTTGTTTGTTGTGGTTGCACCCGATTCAAGAGCCGAATGGCTCACAGAGCTATACCAAAATAAAAAAAACTGAAAAAAACTGAAAAAATCAAATGTCTCGATGAAACAGAACCGAGGCCCAGTCTCGGCTTTTCCCTCGCTGTTTTGTAAAATAATTAATCTGCACTCCAAAGCATCAACACATTGTGTTTCTTGTGTGATACCTTTGAATCTTTGCGTTGCATAGCAGCAGCAACCATAATTATAATAAAACTTCAACATAATGGTAATTGAACATTTTCTGCACATTTTCACGGCTGTGTGTGTGTGTGCGTGTATATTAATATTTTTTTCACGAACAATAACAAATTCCTCAAAAATTTAAAAGCAGTTCTGCAAACGGAAATAGATGCAGTTATCATGCGTTACACATGCTAAGCGTGTGGGAATACAGACTGTTTTTTGAACGCTGCTGAAAAATAGAATGGCTTGTGGTTGGAGGGAAAGAGCAATATAAAAACTGGTAATCGGAAAACATCTTTATCAGGCCTCCATGCTATGAGGTTCAGTCTCCAACTCTTATTAGAATTATTATCATCAACCCTATCTCTCCAGTAGCGTCATCTGTTCTATTTTTGTTTTCATTTTAATGTCGCAGTGTTATTGACGAATGAGTCGAATTTATTTGTTATTTCCTATGGTATGGTGGGCTGCCACTAATGTATGTGTGTATGTTGAGCTTCTTTCATGCCGTACGTTAGCCAACCATGCTAATTGGAGGTGCGCGGGGGAAGCACAACAAACTAATAAACACAAAAAATCAGTTATAAATAAATTAGCTTTCAATATCGATAATTTAAAAGTGCATAGCTCCAGCGGCTCCCAACTATCGGAGGAAATGGCATTCCAGACGGCCACAGAAGCGCACCTGAAAGCGCACAATGCGGTGACCCTCTTTGTTCGATGGCTGGCCAAAATCCGCTGCTGCTGCGGAGATGACCGGACAAATGATGCAGCTCCCCTGCCCTTCAGAATCCGAGCTTGCACAATGACCTTGGGAGAGGCTGCCACCGACTACTGTGTCTGGAATCAAACCCAGGGTCGCAGGCACGGACACGCATCAACGCCCGGGCCGACCGCCGCGCCAGCGCCCCCGTCGTCCGTCATAATTCTTTAAGTCACCGTGTAAAAGCACGCATGACGTATCGCCTCCTATCTCGCGAGTCCAGCGTTGGCGCTTTCATGGAAAATGAGAACGGATGTGATTGACCCCTTCTCCGAGGGGCTTGGCGGCCACCCCCCCCCCCCTCCCTCACCATCGCACGGCGCCCGCAGCGACCGTTGCTGCTCCGTCCCCCCATGCGTGTGTGTGCCCTAACGATCCGGCGATGCTTTTGGCGCAAGTTTCACGAACGTGCGCCTGTGTGTGTGTTCTTCTTGAGCGGTTAGCGAAGGCGGTTGGTGCAGCTACCACTACGAACCTTCTCCACCGGAGTTCGATTCGTGCTCGCTGTCAACGCAAGTGTGATGGTTATCTAAACCGGTCGTGAGACTCCCCTAGATCGACTCGGCCTCAAATGAGTAGCTGTTGCGATGTGTGAACATTGCCACTAGGGAAACAAAGGTGGTCAGGAGTGGTACTGGCCATCCCTCCTTTTTCGTGTGCCGTGCCAGCCTTCATACACTGTAGGTGCTCGCTAACAGCACTTGCTCCAGCAAACTGTTCAGGCTTTAGAAGGATCTTTATCTTTGTTTTATTGGAGTTATTAAGAACCCTCTGTACAGGGGTCACATTTATTTTCCCAAAATGCCCGTGTGGGTGGTGGTGGACCTGTGCCCGTGTAGGTGATGGTGGGCCTGTGCCCGTGTGGGTGGTGGTGGACCTGTGCCCATGTGGGTGGTGGTGGACCTGTGCCCGTGTGGTTGGTGGTGGACCTGTGCCCGTGTAGGTGATGGTGGACCTGTGCCCGTGTGGGTGGTGGTGGACCTGTGCCCGTGTGGGTGGTGGTGGACCTGTGCCCGTGTGGTTGGTGGTGGACCTTTGCCCGTGTAGGTGATGGTGGACCTGTGCCCGTGTGGGTGGTGGTGGACCTGTGCCCGTGTGGGTGGTGGTGGACCTGTGCCCGTGTGGGTGTTGGTGGACCTGTGCCCGTGTGGGTGGTGGTGGACCTGTGCCCGTGTGGGTGGTGGTGGACCTGTGCCCGTTTGGGTGGTGGTGGACCTGTGCCCGTGTGGGTGGTGGTGGACCTGTGCCCGTGTGGGTGGTGGTGGACCTGTGTCCGTGTGGGTGGTGGTGGACCTGTGCCTTGTGTGTCCGTGTGCAGACGACTATCCCAAGCCGCACATGGTGGTGCACCCGGAGACTCGTGCAGCTGTGCGGGGCTCCAACGTCTCCTTCATGTGCTCGGCCGCCTCGAGCAGCGAGTCGCCCGTCACCTTCCTGTGGCGCAAGGACAACGCGCCGCTCACAGAGGTATGTACGTACGGTGGTGTATATACGTACATGCATTGTGTTTGTATGCATGTATGTTGTGTATGCACGTACGTAGAACTTATTTCTCACCGTACGTAGCCAGCCATGCTTTTTTGAGGCGCGAGAGACAATAAACTAAACACAAAAGTAGTGATGAAGAAATTAATATTCAATCTAGATTTGAAAGTGCATTGCTCCAGTGGCTTCCCAATATTGGAAGGAAGAGCGTTCCAGACGACCGCAGCAGCCGCATCTGAAAACGCGCAATGCGGTGACCGTATTTTGTTCGATCGTTAGCCAAAAAGCCACTGCTTCTTCCACGTGATGATGGTTCATGCCTGTTGACGAAATCAGCGAGGCATTGTGGTTAATTTGTGGCACCCATTTTTGCGCGCCATGAGCACGACCTTCTCAACGTTTTCGTTCACCGCCGCCATCCGTCACCGCTCTAGGTTTCCGCGATCAAAAAACCAAAAAATATTTCACGATGAGGATCCGGGCATTGAATTTCGTGTTGTTGACAATCGTCGCGTTGTCAGCTTCACGCCACTTTCATGAACTCGTATTCCGCTGTTTTATTTGCGTGGTCTACACGCTTTGCTGTTCTTCTGTTGTGAGTGAAGATTACCAAAGCCTTACAACTGTAGTTGCCGCAAAATAAGCCTACCACAACTCGTGGTAATCATGAACGTTCAACAACAACAACAACTGCCCCTCTCCACTAATTGGCGGTGATGTCACCACGGCGCTTGTAGCAGGATATTTGCACTGTAAGGCCACAGTGCACATTCACAACCAGTAATACGCCCGTGCTGTCCATTGCACTTGAAGCGATTCAATTATCGGGAAATGAAATAAACTGCGGACGTGATGAGGTCACGGAACTATCATGCCGTCAATTCACCTGCAAACATATTGCTAAAGCACCCATTTAATGGGTAATAAACTATGCAGGACGTTTAATTTTTTCTTCTCTTATTACTCCGTGAATATTTTGTCGGGAAGGAAAATATTTGAGATTAAAAAAAAATACACGTAACAATGTTTAACAAAATCGATGTCTGCCGTGATACTTGGTATCCTGATACTGTGACAAATCGGAGTATCTCAGTATCACAGGAAATATGATCTTAAATCCATCCGTTTCTCAATGGAAGGACGTCACAAACGTTTTTGATGAACACTCTGAAACCAATCGCTACGCAACTTGCCTCACAGCATATCGATGGCAATGCTCGTATTTGTGTAATTATTTAGCAAGATTGGCGACAAAATCCTTTCAGCAAAGTGTTTTTCATCATCAGCAGCAGCAGGACCACCAGCCATGTTCGTTAAACTGCTAGTTCAGGATCTCCTCGCGTTGCCACCATTCCCCATGGTCCCACCATGCCACAACACATTTTTTCCCCTCGCCATCAGCCGATCTCATCTCTCCATCTCTCTATGCTGGTAATCCTCATGGGAGCGTTCCCCTTTACACTGTTGATGCCTTGCTCAGTTGCAGAGTGATTAGCAGCTATCAGTTACAGCATGGTGGGTGTGAACTCGCCTGACGAATCTGCGATTCCGTTTTTTTTTGCTCGTCTGCAATTCCGTTTTTTTTTGCTCATCTGCGTCGTTCCACGTGCACATTTGTTGGTGCGTCCGAATCTCATAGCAGGCTCCTTAAACCTTTCCCATTGCGATGACGTATGTGTACGTCATTAGAACGGAATCAGTATGAAAGGCATGTGGCACAGTTTGGCGCCAGCTATCATAGAGTGCGGCCGTGCCGCTCCAGTTCTCTGCGGTGAGTACAATGTCTTTAACAAACAACGGCGCTACGCCTCTCTAAATGTAATTAACGCGAATCGCTTGAGCGTTCTGAGATTCAGCGGTGAACGGGGAGACCCACTCTGCAACGTGCAGCCCTCTGGGAATGGGAACGGGTTAAGTCGTATAGCCAGGTTGTTTTAATCCTCACCAGCGCGATGCATTATTAACACGTCGAAATATCTGCGTCTGCATTATCACGCTTTCTGATAATGCGCTGGATGCGCATGTCAACATCTGAGTAAGCATTTTTTTTTGTTCAATGCACTCCACTTACGTTGACTTTTTCCGCTTGAAAATGTCACGACACCATTCTCGTCCATTTCTGTGCGCCTGCTACGTTTGGTCTTTATACCGGCTCGTTAAAAGGTCGCGGAGATACATCAAAGTTATAAATCTGACATGTTATGGCATCTTGTGACAAGAGCTTGGGGGATCCTCGAGTAGATACGCTTTGCATTATTGAAACATGGCTTAAGGCTGAGAAATTCCGAGGCTCAAAATATTTGTCAAACTCCGGAGCGGGCGGAAAGTTTTCCGCATTTACTGTTTGCACAGCAAACCGTGGCCAATGAATCTGTGTCACCACTTCAGAAATTAAGCCCGGAACACCTGTGTTTATCGTTCTGAACTAGGCTGCCCTTCAAAATGAACCGTCGGCCTTGAAAGCTGTTGGCCTTGCGCAAGATACAACTTGTTCGTATACGAGTTGCACTGGGGAATTCCCAAAGTTGTAGACCGCCAGATGTTACAATTACGACGAAAAATATGTTGCGCATTATAAACAACAAATTCTGGCAAATGGCCGTCCTTCACCCGAAAAGGTCAACGTTACTACCTTCAAATTAACACAATTTTAATTTTCAGACCCTTCATCCGCCCACTGTTGTATGAACGCCTCCCCATGCCTGTGTTGGTCATGGGGGTTTTAATTGTCCATACTTCACCATGCTGGTCAATTCCGGTCGGTGTAGGGGAGCCCAGGACCGGTCCATCAGATATCACTCTCCGCTGGTTGTTATGTAAATACGGACGGCAATTGAGCTCAAGTTGCCGGATTCGTAGTGCAGTGCACGAACCACTGTACCACCGCTCCAACCCACTACCCACATGCAAAGCATTTAAATGTTGTAATTAAGTTAATATAACATCTGCAAGATGTGGTTCATGTCTGAAGCAATTGAGGAGGAGCGCAGGAGGTACTTATAATTTATCATATTTACAGAAATGTCGAAAGCACATGAAACTTTGTTCAGTTCAGTGTCGTTTATAACAGCCTCGATGCCTTTTCAAGCGATGCTGCAATAGCAAATGCAGTCAATTATTTTCAAGACTAAATGTATACACGTGGGGGGCTTGTGGCGGTGGCATTCGCAATCCATTTTTATTTTATTGTTAAATGTTCAATTGGCAAATGGGTTGTGCCGGTACGTAATTTCGGTGATGTGTATGTCTATATGAAGCCCATGCATTATTATCAAATGCATTTAAAGATATTACAAGCAAGTTTTAATTAACAGATTACTATCTATATTCTTGGTTCTTTCGGTAAAGTCACGTTTGAAGGGAAACAATAAAATAATAAAAAAATATATAAAACAATAAAATTCTCACGACGTTTCGACTAACACAGTCATCATCAGGTGTGAAAAAAACCAACGGCAAGAAGCATTTGAAAGAAGTGTCGGTTTGTATTTATTTATTTTCAAAGTTGTTCGCTTTTAATTATTTATTTATTTTTGGACCGGCGTTTGTGTTTAGTTCTTTATTAAAAAAAACGTTAGCGCCACGGATAGCGATTTGACAGTTTGTTTAGAAGGACGAGTCCATCTATGTTCGGAAAAGAGGAGGGGGGAGACGAAAATTTAATGTATGGGTTTCAGACAGCATACATAAAATTTTCGTCTCCCCCCTCCTCTTTTCCGAACATAGATGGACTCGTCCTTATAAACAAACTGTCAAATCGCTGTCCGTGGCGCCAATGTTTGTAAAAATAAATAAATAAACAAACACAAACACCGTTCATAAATAAATACGAACAACGTTTGAAAATAAATTAATAAATGCAAACCACCACTTCTTTCAAATGCTTCTTGCCGTTGTTTTTTCACACCTGATGATGACTGTTTGTGTTACAGTCGAAACGTCGTGAGAATTTTATTGTTTTATATATTTTATTATTTTATTGTTTTTCTTCAACGTGACTTTACCGAAAGAACCAAAAATATGAATCACTGCAGTCACGAAAGCTTTAAATCAAAAGATTACGATCTGTGCATTTTTTACGGCATGACAGGGAAACTGTTCTTTGCTCTGCCGTGTGCTTAGGAAGGACTGAAGGATATGAAATCAGACTCCAGAGTCTTTATTTAGACTGCAGGAGGAGGAATCCGATGAGCTATGAAGCTTTTGTTCACAGATGTCCCAGTATGGGACGGGTTCAGCGAGCAGTAATCCACGATCAATACAACAAAGAGGCGACAGGAGTTTAAAATAGGGGAAAAGGTAAGCAAGTTATGAAATATGAATCAAACATTAATTATATGAGAGTCCGATTTATCAAACTTGGGCAAGGCAGCGAAAAACAGCAACAAAACAGTCCCAGACCACACCAGGACAATCATGCCTGGCTAGGGCGATGGACTTATTGAGATCCCAATACACCCGTCAATAAAGAGCCGGAGCTGACACACGGCCGTTTTGCAGCTTATACATACATATTGCCATTGCAACTCCAAATTCGTTGTCTCAAACCCTGACACATCCCCAAAACTACCTAAAATTCACCAATAAGTCTTCCCACCTTTCGCGTGTTAAAAATCTTCTCGTGCATTATATCCGCCGAGATTATTTACTTGAAATTAAATGCACCGATTTGTGCTTCAACCTTGGTCCGTACACTCTCGTACGTTCCTCGAGTGATAATTTTTTGAGTCGGCAGTGGGCCCATACGAGTGGCCTCAGACTAACGAGAAGCACCCCTCTCTACGTCCCGACACTTTTGACCTCTCCTCGACAGTAAGCATCCAAAAACATTTTCCTCCATCGTTTTAATGAGGGCTTTGTCGAGCAGAGGTGACATTTCAATATCGGTGGCTGTTTTCCGGAAGTCCCGGTTGCGTCATTGGAAGTGGGAACTTGAACATCACGTGCTTTATTGTTTACAGGATATTGTCCTCGACCCGTATTTCGTGTCCTGATCTCATTTGGAAAAAGGACTCCGATATAGTACAATCAATTGATCGTAATCCACAGGCCATTGGAAATCCACTGCCTAATCACGCTGTGTCGGTCTTGGGGTTAAAGTTATTATTTGTGTAAGTACATGGACAGCGGTCAGTCCATTGCTGGATTACTCCCTACACCGTGCAGGTCGTGGGGGTTATATGACCATACTTCACTGTACTGGTCAATGTTTGATTGGTGAAGGCGGATAACGTAAATTCACGGAGTGTCACGTGTCTTTTTCTGGAGCGTCCTGCCAGGTTTAACAGTCGGGTTGGTGAAGGGTGCATGATTTGTCCAATATTTCCAAAATTTGGACGAATGATGCCGGCGGCACGCATGGTATCTTTAACGATGAACTGTGAAACAGACAGCATGTATTTTATGCGGTTATTGCACCCGCGGTAATAACTCCAGGGCACCCGGTGGATTCCAACCGTGGACCTCTGCAATATTCCGCGAACGTGATTCAGCTAGATCGTGTCGCCACCCGATTATTTAGGCGGTGGCGTAGTTGCTTCTGCTAAGCAACACAATAAGTCGAATATCTAACTTAAGAGACGATATGTTTATTGTCTTTATATAGCAGATTATATTTTTTTTCAAATATATAATTTTACAAGCAAACAAAGCCAAAACTGAGCTTCAAGATTGCCAGGAGCGTGCTGCGCGATATGTTTGACGAATTACTTGGCGGTGTTTTGAGCATCAGAGCAAAACAATGAGTATCCGAATAAAACGAATGCACAAGTCTGATCATTACTGTACAGGTCTGATCAGCGTGGCAGTGTTGACCAAACAGGGCCTCTCTACACTTCGCTCTTGTGGCGTGAGCAATGAACCACAGGGCCGCACCTTCACCTCGGTTGCCTTATTATTAATTATTATACGAAACTAGAGTTGAAAATGGCAGCCTTCACGCGGCCGAATGCCACTGAATGCGGCAAACCGAACATCAATCATCGATCTCTCAGTCTCCAGAGCAACAACAACAACAAGCTTGGCCACCTGCATGTGAAATTGTAGACGCGTGCCCGCTGTGCCATGATCATTATCGAGGACACAGGACGGCGGTCATCAATCAATTATGAATTAAAAGTTTTGCTCGCACTCCTCCCGTTGTTTTCCTTTGATCCGCTGTTTGATCCACCCCCTTGTCAACTGCCGCACGGCATCTGTGGGACATTTCCACGGACGTTACCGACTGAAAACGAAACAAACTTCCGGTGGGGGGGGGGGGGGGGGGGTGTGTGGCCGCGTCGTTGTTGTTGGCAGGTGGGCGCGGAGGTGGAACGTTTGGAAAGGGCGCGTCCCGCGGGAGGCGGTCTAGGTGAGTTCACCTCCTACCTGCACCTGCGCACCGTCGACTTCCACCACGAGGGTCGCTACCAGTGCGTCATCTCCAACTCCTTCGGCTCCTCGTACTCTGGCAAGGCCCGGCTCACCGTGAGCGGTGAGTATCACGCGCGCTCGTTGCAGTTGTTGTTCATGAATAAATGTCTTTCTGGGTTAGATTGCGTGAGTATGAATGTGTCGTAACCCTCCCGCCACCCGACACAGCCAGTAAGGTTTGTCACGCAACACAAAACGCGCCAATTAGTTTACTACGTCAGCCCACCGGTGTGTTGGAGGGTAAATCCACAGCATTTACAATTTGAGTAGTACGACGCTTCGCCGGTAATTACGTCCAGCATCATCGGGCGATTTGCCAGAATAGTGAAGCAATCCACCTGCTTCCGGTCTTAAATAGAGCAAGATGACGTCATCATCGACCGAATCCAACAACGGTGTTTAAACTGTTGTTGCCGTTGTTGGTCATCATCGTCGTTTGTTTCTTTTCGACCGAAGATGTCGCTGCTGACTGTCTGGTCCTGCGGGGGCCTGCCCAGAGAGTGGTGGTGGTGGTGGTGGTGGTCGCGGGGGGGGGGGGGGGGGGGGGGGGCTTGGGAAAAAGTGGCAACGTGCCCCAGGCATCGCGCAAAAGATGCAGGCCAACAATATTGCTGTGACACTTTGGCCCCGGGCCCCTTCCAGCCCCTCGGGGTGTCCAGAAAACCTAGGGCGCGGATCCTGCCGCGAGTCAGCCGCCACTGGGGCGTTTCCCCTTGGCCGGACCGCAGCAGCAGCAGCAGCAGCACCAGCAGCAGGCCACTGAGATGGTCGGGACGCGACGCAACAGGCCTCCGTCCTAAGCGCGCAGCACATTGCATCCACCGTGAAACCCTTCGGGTTTGCGCGCTTCAACGAGCCACTCGCGTCTGCGCCGCCGCCCCCCGCGCCCGCCCACTCGTGCGCGTGCATGCGTGCAGTGCTCCCGTCGTTCACCAAGACCCCGGCGGACCTGAGCCTGCGCGTGGGCTCCACGGCACGGCTCGAGTGCGCCGCCGGGGGTCACCCCACGCCGCAGATCTCGTGGCAGAAGGACGGCGGCACGGACTTCCCGGCAGCGCGCGAGCGGCGCATGCATGTCATGCCCACCGACGACGTCTTCTTCATCGTCGAGCTGAAGGCTGACGACGCGGGGACGTACAGCTGCATCGCGCGGAACGCCGCCGGCACCATGTCGGCCAATGCCAGCCTCTCCGTGCTTGGTACCGGCCATCCGTCTGTCCATCCGTCCATCCGTTTGTCCGTTCGTTCGCCCGTTCGTTCGTTCGTTCGTCTGTCCATTCGTTTGTCCGTTAGTTTGTCCGTCCATTAGTTTGTCTGCTCGTTTGTCCGTCCGTTCGTTTTTCCGTTCGTTTTGTCCGTTTGTTTGTCTGACCGTCCGTTCGTTCGATTGTCAGTTTTCACACGTTCGTACTTTGTACGCAAACTCGCCGTGCATTGTTGTGGAGCGAAAGGTAAAAGCATGGGTGGGCAGCATATAAATAAAAAAAGTAGTCCATCAGCCAATTGGATTTTCAGGTCAATATTATCCAAGAAGCATTTGTTTAAGCAAACAAACTCTGGACCTTTTCAGCCACTTGACGTCTCGTCAGCAGAGTAAGGCTTGTAAAATGGTGATGGGTCACCAGATTTTTTCGTCAAGAGCACTGCTTCTGAACAAAGGGGGCTCTGTGCAATGCACCAATAAACAGCAATATTGTATTGAAGCTCATTATACATTTAATCCTTTACACAAGGTGTTAATTATTTTTGCAGTAGTTAGGCCAAAGCTGACCGGGTGGCACTACAGCAGGGGGCTCGAATCACGTTGGTGAAGTTGCGAGATCAGTGCTTGGTTATAGGTGGTTGATTCAGCCCAGCTGCTCCTTCAGGTTGTCTAAATGAGTACCACAGTGTGCAAAGTCACCAGTGAGCATCCCATGGACCCGCCGTGACGATGTAGACTGTCAACCACTTCCCCATGGTCGTCAGACAGAGAGAAGCACCGTCCCACAACTCTCATTCAATCCTTTGCTACATTTTCACTTTGACTGGCGACTTTACAGTGACTTCCATATTTGCCTACGCGAATAAACTCACCGCACTATTATTAACCTCTCTTTGCTCTCCGGAGGGAGCCTGGGGCTGGAAAATATACTGAGATGTCAGCAACACCGGCTCGGTTCTCCAACCACCCCGGGACGTTAACCCCCCCCCCCCGCCCCTCCCCGAGCCACCCAGCCGTACCTCCCGAGGCACGGCGACGCTTTTAATTATTCACCGCCGAATCGTGGCTCGTTTTTCAAGAGCGAGATTCGGGGCCACTATGCTGTCGCCGACGGCCGAATCACAGCAGGTGTCAGCGCGCGCGTGTGCACGGGCTCTGGTGGGTGGTGGCCGCGGCGGCGGCGGCGATGGCGGCGATGGCCCCCGGCGGTAGCAGCAGCTGATCCGACGGCGCGTTTCCTCTCGCGCAGAGACGCCCTGGCTGCTGAGGCCGGTGCAGGACCGCGCAGTGGCCGCGGGGGAGACGGCCGTGCTGCAGTGCATCGCCGGCGGGAGCCCCCCGCCTCGCCTCAACTGGACCAAGGACGACGGGCCGCTGCTGCTCACCGAGCGGCACTTCTTCGCCGCGAGCTACCAGCTCCTCGTCATCGTCAACTGCGGCCCCGAGGACACTGGAAGGTGAGCCTTTCCCCTCCCTCGCTCCCAGGCATGTCAAGAGGAAAGGTGAGGCAAGCGGGCGGGCGGGCGGGTAGGCAGAGGGAGAGAGCAGAGGTAGGCCGCAAGGAATATGGACAAGCTGCTATAACTATACTACTATTTTTATACTACCAGGTAAGGCCCACTGAGCTATATATATATTTTTTTTCGGAAGCGACCACAAATGATATCTCAAGAAAGTGGCTTTTCATCACATGGAAATGTATAGTAGCCAAATACTCTCAACGCATGCTGATTCTCAATGCGGAGACAAAAATGCACGCGACCAGGGGGAGAAACATGCAAACCCCAAATATACAGCAGCCGGCAGCATCGGGGTCGAACCCATGACCTCCTTCATACCAGACGAGGTAGTTAACATTTTTGCCACCGTGGCGCCCAGAGAGGTAGTTAGGCAGAGGGACAGACAAGCGGGCCGGCGGACAGGCAGGGAGAGAGGGGCAAACGGGGCGAGGAATACAGATAAACAGGGGCACACCGGCGGGGAGGCAGCGAAGCAGACAGACTACTGAGAGTGAAAAGCAAATATGTGGTATTGTTGTCAAGGAGAAAAAAAAAGCAGAGGGAGCAGCAAGAGATGCAGACACAGTTGTCAATGTATTCAACTCTCAGATGGGTTTTGGGTTTATCTTCATTGCTGTTGGCAATCTTGAGCCGGTGGTTTTTTGACATTGCCGCATTCCTACGGTGGGATCAATATCCCTAAAGCACAACCACCATTGGCTTTTCACGAAGTATGAACCCAGAGTGATGACGATGATGATAGGCCGAGTGGGAATTCCACATTCCTGTGGCAGATCGCATTCTCTCCTTGGGCTAACCGCATCCAACAACATTGTACAAAAGCCACACACTGTATACCATCTGTTCCATTTTCCATTTAGACATGTGCATGCACGTGTGCAATGCTTCCATAATTGTTTATTTTAAAGTTATTTTTCTTTATTTATAAGCAGACATCGTGCCTTAATAGCCCTTTACTTAATTATAACTATAAGGAATATATTTATTGCCATACGCCTTCCCGGCTCTCGCGAGTGTCCTGTTAATTCTATTAATTTCCAACGGAACACGGGACAGTGAGGGTGGTAAATGACCCCCATCCATTAGTCAGATTTTTATTTTATTTTAACCCAGCAACATTTTTCCCTCGTAAAGTATGAAATGACCAAACTGCCACATTGTCAACATGATATTTTTCTTGGCAGGAGGCAAGCTTCTGTTGCCAGTTTGCTAAAGTTCGTGTGAAATATCCACCACCTATTTATTGGGGGGGGGGGGGGGGGGTGGGTGACTGAGTGACTCCGCTGAGATCCTGGGTTGGGATCAACATTTCAGGCACCTGTGATTTATACCGGGTTCTCAAGTGCTGTGAGTCGATGGTCTGAGCCCGACCACAATTACTACAAAAAAACCGCATCATGTTACATGTCATTCTGCAGATAAATTTGGGTCTAAATTCCTACTCTGACAAAATAAAGTGGGTGGCAAAAGTGTGTTTCCTTTTACTGCTTGGACCTGACGTCGCTTCAAAGGGGGATGGGGGGTCTCAGAGGTAGCTCTGTGATGTCCACTTCCCTCCCGCTGTTCCTCTAACACAAAGGGCGTTGCAATACATTCTGTTCTCCTATAACGCGGTAGTTGCGTTCTTGAAGAAGACCGCATTATGGAAATATTGCGTTATAATAAATAATATAGTTTAAAGCACAGTCCGCGATTACACACGAGATGCGTACGCAGGCTGAACAACGACTGAGGTGCGTGGGTAGCGCTCTGGAAGCATCCAGCAGCATCCTACCCTGTGCGATGCAACGTCGAGGCAGCCGCACGACCGCGTATCCCTACTCGCGCGACGCACTTCCGTTCGCTCGAATGCGTCACATCCAATTCGCAATCCGCGTTGTCAAAAAAGATGTCTTCCCTAATGTGCTCATCGCGTTGTACGTCCAATTCGCGTGACGAAAGCACGTGGCGTTTGAGGAGAACAGGACTGTACTCTGCGACAATGTGGGTGGGCGGGCGCTGGCAGGTACACGTGTGAGCTGTCCAACACGCTGGGCACGATGCGTGGCCATGCCTTCCTGAGCGTGCTGCCTCCCGGCGACTGCCCCATGGCCGCCCCCGACGGCTCGGCGAGCGGCGGCGGCGGCTCGGCGCACGGCACCGGGGGCGTCGACTCCAGCGCCACGGTGGGCGTGGTGGTGATCGCCGTGGTGTGCTGCGTCGTGGGCACCTCCGTCGTGTGGGTGGCCATCATCTACCACACCCGGCGCAAGACCGAGGCCTTCGGCGTCGGCGGCTCGGGCAAGTCTGTGTGCGCATGTGCGCACGCCGCGATCGTGATTATTAACAGGCGAAGCCTGACTTACGAACACACACCCGCACTTACGAACACCCGCACTTACGAACACCCGCACTTACGAACATTCGACCTACGAACAACCGACTTACGAACACCCGCTGATGAAGAGATCTGGACAGATGGAAATATCCGTTCATAGACAAAGGGGAAGAGGAAGGTCTTGAAGCCTGGATTGGAAAAGAGAGTTGGAGTCAGCAGTGTGTCTGGTGACATAATCTCCATTGGACACAAGGAGCCAATGGTTTAAATTCCACATTCCCAAGATGGAGGCCAGCTGTGGTACAACCTACTTGTGACGTACTACTGTGGTATTCATTTTTCTCGACCCCAGGATGGTGATGCCTTGAATAGAACCCTCACCAGGAGTTTGAACTCGTCAATTTCCAAATTCCAGTTGAGCTTGCGCTACAGGACTGTCCAGATTGAACTTAGGTGCATAGCCAACCGGGCTGATCGGAGGTAGGGAAAGGACAACAAACCAATTACTTAGAGCAGTTCTGAATAAATTAATTATCTATTTTGTATCGTGATGTAGTTAATAGTATTGTAGTGTGTCATGGCGTCGTGTATATTAGTGGGGAACGGTAGTGTAGCGGTTAGCGCGCTGCGCTATGAACCCGGTGACCCGGGTTAAATTCCCGCTCACGGTCAACACCAGTGCCGATTATCTGAACCGGTCCTGGGCCTCCCCTAGGTCGACTCAGCCTCAAATGAGTACCTGGCGTGCTGTGTAAACATCGCCACTGGGGAGACAAAGGCGGCCGGGCATGGTGCTGGCCACCCACCCCCATGTGTACCGTTCCGGCCTTCACCGGTGCACCTGTGTGGCTTTTGGGCCCGTCAACTTTGAGAAAAATGGCCTCGTTAAAGTCCGGAAATTATAGAGGAGTAGTTGTGTCAACAGTTTGAAATTGAACAGAGACCTAGACCATTCTCGACAAAGATGGCCACCTTTGAAAGGTCCCGCATTCTCAGGTTTATTAAATCCAAATATCAATCCCACGTGTTCAACGATGACCTCTATGCGATGTGCGCATGCAGTGGTCATCACGGCCAGTTGCTTCAGCAGGTGCCCGTTGCAGAATGTCAAGATATCGGGACCTCTAAGGTCAATTTACTTAACAAACAAGGAACAAATAGGGTCCGTAATAGCTTACGTACACGGAGAAAGTTTGTGTGTTTTATTTGCGAACGGCGTTTGGATCAGAACTCTGTGTTTGTATACCAGTAAGAGTGAATGTACTCTGAAAAGCAATGCAATTCGTGAAATATTTAATGCCCATTTCTTTGTTTGCGAAGAGTGCTTATAGTATAGACAGTGACCGTCATTAAGATCAGGGTTGACTCTAGGTTTTCGCTACAGGTAATTACTAAAATTTATGAAGATTTTTTTTCTTTCCAGAAGAGTTTTGTTTTTTCGTTTAAGAAAAACAATATAAATGTTGATTTTAATTTAGCACAGTGAAAGACACATCCTGTGTGTGACAAAAGGTGACAGGAACTTGACACGTAGCTTAAAGTACTGCTCACAATTTTTTTCTTAATTGTTTTTCATATCTATTTGCAGATGAGACATTTGTTTCCCCAGATGTACCAAGTTATCTGGCCTCTCAGGGAACACTGTCAGAACACCATAAGCTCAACGGGCACTCCGAAATAAACAACACAAACCCACTCATGTCCAGCTCAACGAACAGGGGCCTGCTCCACCCAACCGCCACAAGAGGTATGCCGTCTTCCATTCACCCATTCACTGTTTGTTTTCAATGCAATTCATTCGTGAATGCCTTCCCTGAACATCATGGGACCCCGCGAACATGAAACATGTTGTTATTTGATGGATTGCTGCCGTGGCATAACGGTTTGCACACTGGACTTGCAATCCAAAGGTTGCTGGTTCAATTCCATCTCCTGGCATGGCAATTAAATTACTAACTATTTTTTATTTAATTTTATTAAGGCCAACCTGAGTTATATAGCTCTTTTTCAGAAGCGTCCTGGCGATCACGAATAATAGCTCAACGAAGTGGCTTATGTGGAAATCTATTGCAGCCAAATACTCAAACACACGTTGATTCTAAATGTGGAAGGAATAACCGGAAGACCCGGAGAAAAATCCACGCGACCACAGGGAGACCATGCAAACTACAGGCGTCAGGATTGGGATCGAACCAACGTCCTCCTGTATACCAGGCGAGGTTGTTAACATCTCACCACCGTGGCGCCTAGTTAAAAATAGTGTCCAGGCTTTTTAAATCTCCCCCGCCTCTGTCCACCGAGCAGTGTGTTCACTGCAGTTATATGGGTCACATGTGGCGAGATAACGTTTTGGTACTCTCACCTCTTCCAAGATGTCTGGCCAGTGTAGAAGAGTAGGCCGAGTGCCCTCTAGAGGGGCTCTCTAAAGCTCCCTCTCTAGCAGTAGTGTGAGCAAGCAATTCCTGGGCTGCACCTCCTTACTTCATCACGCTATGTCAGTGTGGGTCGATGAAGGGGTAAATGGAGATTGGATGGGTGGGGGAATTTGTGCGGAACCGGTTACTCGCCACAGCCATGGCTGGGAATCTAACTTGGGTGGCCGGGTTCTTAGCACCGTGTGCTAACTGCTGCACCACCACCACCCCCCCCCCCCCCCCCCCCCCCCCCCCCCCCCCCCCCCCCCCCGAGAGACCGCATCTAATCGTGATGATGTGGCGTTGGCATTCTGGGCGCGGGGGACGTTTGCATCCGTGCGGTATCATAGCGACCTCGTGAAAAAAATCGTGTTTTTTTTTTCCTCCACGTTTGTTTGCAGAGGCACATTTTCAACCGAAAAAAAAATGTTTCGCAAAAAAAAACCCAACAACACCCCATGAGGTGGGCGGACGTTGGGCATTCAGATTCCCCTCTCCATCCTGCCCCCCCCCCCCCCACTCTTCCACAATGAGCTTGTGGGCTCTGTCCGTATAATTCCTAAGGCCTGCCCTCTGACATTCACTCGCTTCGCACTGTGACAAAACCACCTGGGTCAGCTCGCAGAGCGGTGAGAACCCGCGGCCACGAGCAGCAACGCGGAAATAGGATTTGAGCAACTACAGAAAAGGTGGGGGGGGGGGTGGGGTGTTACAGGCGCAGCCCTGCAATTTGCCTGCTCACGCTGCTGCTAATGGAAGGGCCTAGCTCGTCCACAGTAGCCAGATGTTTTGGAAAGGGGGGTGGGAAGTATCCACACTTCACCCCACACCACACAGCGGCCTGCCGATCAACTAAACCGCGTTATTGCCATTTATATAGCTGGGCGGACAGAGACAAGGGGATTTGAAACAACAACGACGTGGAATCAGAATCGGAATATTTATTTTTACTGGAGTAATCAGATGAGCTTTTAAGCTCTTTTTTTTTTGGCAGATTTCCAGTACGGGCGGGTAAGAACATTACAACAACAAACAGTACGCACACACAATAGTCACTCAAACTACAAGAAAGATTAACAAATCACCTCAACACATAGAAATTAAACTAAACCATCCCCATCCTACCAGGAAAAGCCCACTGAGGTATTCACTTATTTTTCGAACTGGCGATCCGCATTGCAAGCCCAGTGCGATAATCGTGAAATCATGGCAGCATCCCAAGCAGCTACATCGATACATGGATGCCAGTGGTGCGTAGCAAATAATAACGAGCCATGTTGTACCCTCTTCATGTTCAAATGACTTACAATTAAATGTGCTTTTCTTTCTCTCGACATTTTTTTTGTGTTTTAAAACAAACCAATCATCCTTGTCGGCAAATACGCGAGTCAATAATGCAGTTGTGACACGTCACATTATAAATCAGCACCTGACTCCTTTGTCATTGCCATCAATCACCATCCTCAGTCTTCAATCATTAACCACAGCAGATAATATTCTTGGACCTTAATGTGATAGAAAATCGCATGAGTGTCTGGGCGCGTCGTGTAAATGTGTGGAGTGGTGGCGCAATGGTTAGCGTGCTGCGCGTTTTACCAGGCCCACCCGAGTTCGATCCCCACTCAGGATTAATAAAAGTGGTGAATATTTGAACCCGTCCTGGGACCTCGCCTAGGTCTATTCAGCCTCAAATGAGTACCTGGTGCGGCGAGTAAACATCGCCACTGGGGAGACAAAGGCGACCGGGCGTGGTGCTGGCCACCCACCCCCTCGTGTACCGTGCCGACCTTCATAGGTGCCCTCTAGCAGCACTTTCCCCAACAGTACATTAAGGCTACACGGCGGATCTTTGTGTAAATGTCTTTGGAGTGCAGTGAATCTGGTAAAACGTATTAATTGCATTTCACTATGTGATTATTAAATGTCTCCAAGCTGGTGAGGTTAATGGTGTTAATTAAACATACACGCTGTGCAGATCAAATGATAGTTTGTGTCACCAGTATGGGTAATACAGGAAACGTGTATTTACAGATGAGGTGGACTTATGCGTACAAATTTAATTCGAGATTATATCTGGGTTTATTTATTTATTTTGTCCTGCAGGCTTTCACCTCTCACAGAATCAGATCATAGAGCAAGGTTCACGAGTCACCCAGTAAGAAAGTCGTAAAACCATGAAGGCGCATGTACAACGCCGTAACTCAAGCCATTTCTACGCCATCCTTGATCCCATTGAGAGTGGCGTGCCTCCGAGGCCTTTGACGGCTCACAGGAGCCGCGTGTCACGTGATCTCATAGTAGCCCTCTGTTTGTCCGACAAAGCGTTATCCGAGTCTCAAGCGTCTTTTTTTTTTTTTTTCCAGGAGGGTCCTGCGTGTCCCGGGATGTCACAATCCCCCGTTTATTCTTGAGCGCTTTCGCCAACGGTCAGAAACAGCTGAAAACCCACTCCCGTGACAGGGGCTGCACCGCTCAGAAATCCGTACAGATGTGGCCAGCAGCCTGCCTGCCTGCCTGCCGTACGGCCGTCTCCTCGCCAACGCCGCAGCTCGGCGGTTTCTTGTCGTGCCGCCGTGACGATCCGAGTCGGCTGCGGCAGCGTTCTTCACGAATTTTCAAAGGGGGTGGCGGGCGCGGGTGGAGGGAGAGGGGGGGGTGGCAACTTTCGCCGATAAGACATCATCAGTGTGTGAGGGCCGCCACACATTTGAAACCATTGGGGGTTTGACATCAGCACGATGGTGATACGGGCGGTGTTTTTCACTATTTGTGTATTGTCCGGGCGGGGGTGGTGGGTGAGGGCGCGAAAGTCCTTACAATGAAGAACACACTGGGCACCGTGGAAGCTCCCGATCTCGGGCGTGATCCGCCAACTCCACGCGCAGTTCCGGCTTGCAGGCGGCGCCGCGTCGCCACCGACGGCGCCCGAACGTCCCCCGTGCCGCACGTAGCCGACCATGCTAATCGGAGGTGCGGGGGAAGGACAACGTGCCCCCCCTCCCCCCCCCCCCCCCCCCAAAAAAAAAACAGCCCCTCTGCCACCTGCCCAAGGTTTGGACCGGCGTCCGCTTGCGCGCGTACCCGCCGAGTCGCGGAAAAGAAACCCGAAAAAATTCATCATTAAACAAGTAAGCGCGGGAGGCCGCGATGAGCTTGGAGCGCTGCCCCCGCAGATTGCTCAGACAAGATCACGTGCATCTCCATAATCGTTACGGAATGGCGCGCTCGAGGATCACGCCAGAGGCAACCCTGCGCAGATGTCTGTCGCGGAGGGCCCCTTCGGAAATATGCGCCGTCGCCGACCTGCGACCTCTGAGTGAGCGTGCTCGGCAGATGTGCGTCAGAAATGCATCTGCGCTCCATTCCGCGCTTGGCCCCCACTGTCTGCTAGCAGATGGTTGCGTTAGACCGTGACGGATCCCTGGCTTAAGAACCACCCCACTGTACCCATCTCGCCGAGCGGACAGCTCTCTTCTTCTTATTCTTCTTTCTTTGGACGTCCCTTCATTTTCGCCTGCTACTGTGAGCGAGCCCGTGCGTGTATGTGCACGCGCGTGTCCATGCGCGTAAAAGGTTTTCGCGCATCGCTCTGTGAGGCCGGCGACCCCGAGTTCGATTCCCGCTTAAGGCCAATAACGGTGGCGGATATTTGAACCTGTCCCTGGTCGACTCAGCCTTGAATGAGTACCTGGTGCCATGTGTAAGCTTCACCACTGGAGAGTTAAATGTGGCCAGGCATGGCGTTGGCCACACCACCGCCTCGTGTGCCTTTGCCAGCCTTTATAGGTGCTCGCTAACAGCACTTTCCCCAACAGTCTGTTGAAAGTCTCTACGGGGGATCTTTATCCTTGTAAATGTAGGTGGCGCATTGCACCTGAGGTCCTGGCTAGATTTTCCACTTATGGATAACATCGGTGGCAAGTCGGCCATGAACTCTGTGCTCATCCTTCTCCGAGACGACCCAGCTTTAAAATGAGTACATGGCACAGTCTATAAACACCATCATCGTCATCACCAGGGAGAGAAAAAGCTGCTGGGTGCAGACCAAAGTACTACCTCATGCACAGCCCTGCCTTGACATCACCGTCAACCCCTTATCAGTGCCCTACCTTATTACAGACCAATTCAGACCTTATTGGTCACTCCGTGCCCCGTATTCAGTAAATCTCAACGTTCATCCAACAAAGTCCCATCACAAGGGAGAAACACAAACAAATTGAATTGTTTTTTTTGCTCCCGTTTGACCAAAAAAAAATCTTGCCTGTATTGAAATTGCTGTACGCCGTATGGATCTGAAAACAAAATTTTCCTCGACATGAATGGCTAAGCCGTATGGGTTGACAGATATGCCTTTAATAGATGCTCACTTAACAGCACTCGCTCCCATAATCTGCTAAAAAGAGGCTATGTGGAAATTATTTGATATTTGGTACATTTCGAGCACCAACAAATATTGTAGTTTCGTTTTATTTCCGTGTCGTGCGTGAACGGAATGCACATCTGGGCATCTGTGCCCTTGGAAAGTCTCCCTCGCATGGTATTGAAATGCGCGTCCAATCGTCGCATCATCTTTGCACTCGGCGGATTTCTTTTTTTAAACGGCTCATTGTAAAAGACGGCTGTAATGTTTATATATTTCATTATGAATTCACACCATGTTTTTAAAAAAAATGTGTTTATTGCAACCCATTTTACCCCTTTTAGTTGTATTTTAATAGGCTATTGTAATTTGTGAAATGAGGTGGACACAACTGTGAAATGAGTGACAACATCGCGAAATGTTGTCACTTATTGGTGGTGGCGGGTTTAACAACAAATGTATATTTACCCGACCTAACTCAAAAACCTCTGTTATGCGTAACACTGGTCCCAAAAGCCTCCTGCGTGTTCAATTAATATTGCGAAAGATCAGCTAAACAAATATTATGGACTGCTTTTTTATATTGCTATTTACTTCTTAGCCAGAGACACACGCAGTAACTTGTTGTGGTTACTGAGCTATGGCCAAACCTTTGCAATTCGACTAAACAAGGATAATTAAGAACGTATGGCATGTTCATTCAGTACATTGTGAGACCTTGATCCTGAAATGTGCCATGTGAATGGAATGTCGTTTCCTTAATGTCAACAAAGTTTTAATTTAACATGATTAAACATTCGTGTTTATCACGAGCAATTTCTTGACTTTAAGTTGTGACGTGCAGAAATTCAAATCGATGGCACAGTTAAATCGTTGCACAATTGCGATTCAAACATGTTGCAGAAATGAGGATAGTGTACCACCCAGCAGCGTCATATAGCGGTGGTGCCCAGAAGGACGTACGAATATTGAACTTATATCCTTAGCTCTTTCGGTAAAGTCACGTTGAAGGGAAACAATAAAATAAAAAATATATATATTAAACAATAAAAAAATAAAAACAAATAAAAAATATATTACGACGTTTCGACCATAACACAAACGGTCATCATCAGGTGTGAAAAACCGTTTGTGTTATGGCCGAAACGTCGTAAGATTTTTTTTATTGTTTTATATATTTTTTTTATTTTATTGTTTCCCTTCAACGTGACTTTACCGAAAGAGCTAAGAATATGAATGACTGCAGTCACGAAAGCTTTAAATCAAAATATTGAACTTCTTTCGTGCTAATCGGAGGGGCGCAAAATTGTATTGGATATTTAAATTATCTTACGGAGAATTGTATAAGATTTTTGTTGGAGATGCATCGAGCATAAACACAGCACATGCAGGCACAAAGACAAATGTGAATACGAATAATACTACTACCAACATAAACAAGATACATGTGCAGCCCTGAATTATTTAATCACGCTGCTTCTGGCGGAAGGGCCTGCATTATTATTAGGAGCTCTAGGAAGCCTCTTTGAATAGGGTGTTTTTGGCCTACTCTTCCACGTTAAGCTCAGCCGTCTTTGAATGCCACCATCGTTCATGGATACTGCAGCAGGCACTCGATATGTACCGGAACAAACATTTTGCCCGACGGATGCATCTTTCCCTGTGGAGAGGTTTCCAAGCCTTCCAATGTGTTGCTGGGGGTTACATAAACGACGACAAGGGCCAGAGGAAACTATAGAACACTTCAGTGGAATACAATTTTCAGGCAACGCTTGGTAAACTTGCGAAAGTCAGAAGCGCCGGTGGGTGTGTCACAGAGAGAGATAAGTGCGACGCTTTCTTGTTGTCTGGATCGGTGCGTGCAGGTGGGAGAAAATACTTATGCCCAGGGTAGGAATTGATTTTGTCCAAGAATGTAATTTTGTCTGGAGCCCAGGTGTGCAGAGAAGTTGGATCGGTAGGAGTGAGCGTGGCGGTGCGTGACGCGGGTGTGGCGATTCTGGTTTCTGAGCGGCATCAAAAAATATACACATTAAATGCAAACAATATTATTGCATACAATAGAATAATGTACGTACTGTAAACTTTGGGCTGTACCGTGATGTAATGTTTAATGTACGTATCCAAAACATGAACTGATGCACATAGTTCCATTTCCATAGTTCCATTTATTTGGTATAGCCCTGTGAGCCATTCGGCTCTTGAATCGGGTGCAACCGCAACAAACACAGCATGGGTCATCAGCCATAATCTCTGTCCACTGCTGGATGGAGGCCTCTGAAAAGCCACGACCATCTTATAATCTTGTGATGCAACACTGCGTTTTAGCGTGTGCCGTAAACAAGTGTTGCAGATGAGGCTGAAAACCTAGGAGGGCTTTATATGAAAACCGCACGGAAAGAAATAACAATGTATATACAAAAAAAATAGATTATTCAATCAATTAAACAAAGCATACTAATTACGATTAAACACGTTGAAGTCGGTGTTAAAGAAAAAACATGTTTGTTTTCGTGTGCGCATGTGTATGTAGGTGTGAGTGTGTGTCTATGATGGGGAGTGGTAGTGTTTCAGTTAGCCGCGCTGCGCTACGAACCCGGTGGCCCGAGTTCGATTCCCGTTCATGGCCAACAACTCGGTCGACTCAGCCTCGAATGAGTACCTGGGTGCGTTGTGTAAACATCGCCACTGGGGAGACAAAGGCGGCCAGGCGTGGTGCTGGCCACCCACCCCATCGTGTGCCACAGTGCCGGCCTTCATAGGTGCTCGCTAACAGCACTTGCCCCAACAGTTTTGTTAAGGCTATACGGGGGATCTTGGTCTTTGTATGATGGTGGACTTTTTTTAAAACATTGCTTCACGCAAAGTGAAAGACTGCATTCGTGCATTTGGGTGTGTCAGAGAGAGAGAGTGTGTTTAATTATGAATGGTGCTGGTCTATGAACACCGGATTGAAGAAAATGTTTTTGCAATCTTTTTTTACGATGGATAGCCCCCAAATATTTCACCGTTTTTGTGCTTGATGGCTTTGTGTGACAATTGTTGTGGTGGTGTTAATTAAGTTCTCGTCACCCACCTCGTCCCCCCGAAAAAAAACTAGTCAAAATAAATGATAAATGTGTGTGTGGGCGTGTGTTTACAATGCAGTGCAGAACTATTTTCAGACTTGGCACTTTAAGGCATTGCAGACTGGACTGGATTCACACTCTTGGCCTGTTATGCTATTAATTTAGTGGGAAAAAACGTCCAAAAATGTCTCTAATCACAGCTGGGCAGCCAATAAAAAAAAACATATCTTTCCGAGGTTAAGTGGATTAAATGTTTTAACTGTTTCTCAATTAAAATAATATTCCCCTGCGTGCGTGTGCGGTGATTGTGGGAAGCCGTACACAGTGAGAGAGAAAAAAAGCACACTTCAAGGGATTTTTGCTTTTTTGAAATGCTGTTCTTTTCCTAACAGGTGGTCAGACTGATTCAGTGCAGCTGTGCTCAGACTGCTTCGACAATACTACGCCGTACGCCAACGAGAGGCAAGGCCAAGTATGCGGCGCGGGCGTGGGAGAAGAGGAACAGGAATCGGATCTTGATCAGCCACTTTCAGCCCAACCTTCGAGGACTATCGCTGGGGTCCTTCCGGTCGCCGTGGCATCTGTTTCAGGTAGGTTTGTTAGTCAGTTAATTTCAAACGTCGCTTGCATGAGATTTTCTCGGGGCATGCAGGAGTCCAATTGTGGACCTCCGCCTTAGCACAGTTGGCTACGTACGGTGCGAAAGAAGTTCAACGTACGTACACACCATTGGGGTTGGTGTTTAGACAGTAAAGGCTCATTGGACACAAATACAGGGTACTATGTTTGCATGTGTAAAAAAAAACTACGTTTTCGAAAAATGTAATTGACAGACGTTAACAATGAATTATGTACATTGATATACTTTCATGCATAGATGGTTCGTTCCTCGGCTATACTCAATGCGTATCAAATTAGTTAATCAGAATCAGAATATTTCTGTATACTGAAATAATCCAATGGGCTATAAAGCAGTTTTTCACAGATGTCCAATTGGCAAGTTTCGAGACATTGCAGCCCAGTGCATGTTTTTCGCACATCTATGAAGCACTGAGAGAGGATAAATCCCGAGTATGGATATCGCTTGGACAACTTGATCAATTATTATTATTAAAGCTCGCCTCTTAGCATGAGCAGGCATAACAGCAAAAGCTGTAACAAACGTGGAGGGCCAAGTCGAGGTGGCACACACTCTCCTACGTTCAACATCAGTTGCACCTTAACAACAAAACCTTTGAAGGTTTGGGACATGGACGCGGAGTTGACTTGACTCTCTTGCCTTGTGCGAAATTCACGGGACAGGCAGTGTGGAGGCCCCTGCCACCACCCGCCCTACGGCGGATTCATTGAGCCTTTAAATAGCTCAGGGGCTCAGTTACTCCCCTTGTTTATAGTTACAAAAAGGCAGCCGGGCATGAGACTCTTTAGGGGTAGTGTCAGCTGCTGCACATGAGCCGCGGTGTTTCGTGAAAAGGTGCAGGGGCACCTGTCAACCCCTCCAACGAGATAAAAAAAAAAACTTCTCGTTCCGCCACTCTTTAATAAAAAAAAATCACGGGTTTTTTTTTGTGTGTGTGTGTTGAAGTCTTCTGCATCTTGTCGTAACCTGCTGCGTCTTGTAACTTTTTATCGCAGTTTTGTGTAGGCCCACCCCCACCCCCCCACCCACCCCCTCTCTGGACACAGTCCAAATTAGCTTGTGCTCTGTCGGTGTTGTGTACGCTACGGTGTGGATTGTCCTGCTCTGTGTATGTCGAGGTATTATTTATATTGTAACTTACCCGCCGCCTCCTTGTGTGTGTAATATGACGGCGCGGATTGGTTTTCTCCGACAACTTTATTTCGTAAGAGTTCGAACTTTGGCGGGTGGGAAAGGCTTCACGATTCGATCGATCTATCTATTCCAAAAAAAACAATAGGCCGGGTCGCCCGTGTTCACAGCTTAAGAAGCTTGCAGCAACAACAAAAATATAAGCCAGCGTTGACCTAATTCTGATAGCTCGTAATCTGTTTACATGCTAAAACAAAGGGTTTATAGGCTCTTTAAGCTTGCAAAAGAAACCGAAACGCTCAATTGAAGTCCACCTATCTGTAACATAAGAAGGATTACGAATGAGAGGAGGGGGTATCCACGGGACCTATAGCATGAGTTGTGTTAAGATGTTAAAACACCAAATGGACACTTTTTACTAGGCATCAAAGTCTGCATTATCCACGCGTACTTGTGGCAGAACATGCAAACGAACACGCTCTGATACTAAGCATTGTCTGCGAAACTGATTGGCCTACAACAGAGACAGTCTTCGTTAATGGCCTAGTCTCACTGCCAGCGTTAGACCAGAGAACGCCAAAATGCGAACAGTACAAAGACAATGCAAGTATCAGAGAACTTTTAGCTCGGCTCGAGCTGTTATATCTACGGGACCTTTTTTGCCATCCAGATCGCTGGCCTGTCCGGAGCTTATTGGTTCACAAATCTCTTCCGAGACATCAAATAAAAAAAAAACATTGGTTTTATTTACTAAACTAAACTTTTTTTTTATTATACCAGGTAAGGCCCACTGAGCGATACAGCTCTTTTTCAGAGGCGACCTGGTCACAAAACGAAATAGCTCAACCAAGTGGCTTATCAATACTCTAAACGCGTGTTCCGAAATGTGGAGGGAAAACCAGAGGAACCGGAGATAAATCCACGCGACCACGGGAAGAGAGACATGCAAACTCCAAATATGTAGGCATGAGGGTCATAATCGAACCCGCGGCCTCCTGCATACCAGGCGAGATAGTTAACATCTCCCTACCGTGGCGCCCCTTCTCGATTGAAGAGTACCCCCCCCCAACCCCCCCCCCCCCCCCCCCCAGTGAATTGGCTTCCACCACGTGTCGTGGCAGTCAGCCGGGTCCAGAACTCCCACTACTGTTTGTGTAAAAGTATAAAATAAAAGTGGTCATTATTCTTTGGGTCTTTCGGTAAAGTCACGTAGATTGGTTCAAAGAAAATAACAAAGAATAACAAAAACTACGACGTTTAGATCTTCCCGATGACGAACGCTTGTGTTGCGATCGAAACGTCGAAGTTTTTTTTGTTATTTTATTTGAACCTATCTACGTGACTTTACCGAAATACCCAAAGAATATGAATTCCTGCAGCCACGAAAGCTTTAAGTCAAAAATGGTTAAGTTACTTTGAAAAAAAGGTAATACAATGATACACTCGCACGCTGATGTGCTGAAGTCACGCACCAAACAAGTAGTGTTTGTGAGAATCAGAACGTTTCTTTCTACCGGAGGAATCCGATTAGCTATAAAACTCGAGGAGAGTCGCTGTTGACGTGTCACAAAACCGCACCCGTTTGTATCGACCGCCGAGAGACGAGCCAGCGTACATGTTTTTAGATGTATAGAAATGTAGATGATGTATAGAAATAAAGATGTATAGACATGCCCTGAGCATGTTTTTTTTTATATTTTGGTGGCAGATAACAGGCGCAGTGAACAAGTGGGGTTGTGTCAGAAGGAGCTATACCTTTGTCAAATAGACACCACAGCTCCATGCATGGGTGGGACACTACATCACACCATGTGGCCCTTGACCTCAGATAATGTACGTGTGTGTGTATGTGTGAGTAGCGGTGGCATATTGATTAGTGCACTGTGCTCTGAACCACTGCGGCCCGAGATCAATTCCCGGTCACGGATGACATCAGCGGCGAGTGATATCTGAGTTGAACCTGATTACACTGTGCAAATATCAGCACTGGGGATATAAAGGCGGCTGGGTGTGCACCTGGCCACACCATCTCCTCGTGCGACGTGCCGATCTTAACAGGTGCTCGCAAACAACACTTGCTTTCCAACAAACCCGCTAAGGCCATGTGGCGGGGGATCTTTGCCTTTGTGTGATGACTGGACGCTAGCCCCACCACCAACAACTCTTTTTTGTGCCCCGCTTTAACCTTAAGAAGTGCTGGCTCATGGTGTGTTCCCCAGGTGTGGTCGTGTGTAAACAGGTGGCCAGGCATGGTGGTGCAGGCCACACCGCTTCGTGTGCTGTGCCAGCCCTAGCCTCAATAGTTTGGGAGGCTACACGTGGGGGCGGGAGGGTGGCAAGATGTTAACGACCTCGCCTAGTATGCAGGAGGTCGTGGGCTCGATCTCGACTCTTAGCGCCTTTTATATTTGGAGTTTGTGTGTCTCGCTTTCCTCCTGTGGTCTTGTGGATTTTTCTCCCGGGGCCCTCCGGTTTTTCCCTCCACATTTAGAATCAACATGCGTTTCCCGCAGTTGGCTGCTATGCATTTCGACACGGTGGCAAGCCGCTTCGTTCAGCTATCATTCTTTTGGCCATGCCACTTCTGAACTAGAGCCGTACAGCTCAGTGGGCCTTACCTGGTAAAAATTTAAAACAAAAATGCTCAGTATTAATAGTTTCGCGTGTATATATTTATATTTGTGTGCAGAGACGGTTTGTTACTGCAAATTCTTGCATGCTTGTCCTTCATCGACATTGCCCTGCTCACGTAAGCGGGGTGAATGCGTGCCATTGCAGAAGCAAGCGGCCTGTGCGCGCGGGACGCCTGCAGCCGCCAGGGCCCAACTGTCGCCGAAGAAGAGCGAGAGAAAAAAGTGAGCCGGTCCACTTCCTGAACTCTGTCACTTTGGCCTCCAGCCCCGAGAGTCCATCGACTTTCCAGTCATTTGGGAAGACGTGCTGCACTTCCGAAGAGGGCCAATCGGAGCATTTACTCAATCACTGACACGTCGGACCTTTCCCCGGTGGAGTGGAAGAAATCTGCGGAAGTACCGACAACCCCTTTCGGCAAAAATGTGTCATTTGGTTTCCTTTCCTGGTTCGTTCTCTGAAGTCTGAATGCGCGAAAAGGGGACATCTTTCAAAATGTACTGAGCCAGTGTTTTACACAGGGTTCAGTTATCACTATGGTGATGTTTGGGGATGAGTATCATTGTTTATTTAAACAAAGTGATAACCCCAACATCACTTCATCTGCAATTTGTCTCTCGATTTTCTTGTCCAACTCTTGTGAAATAGGTTTTAGTTTTGATTTAAAGCTTTCGTGACTGCAGGGATTCATATTTTTGGTTCTTTTAGTAAACCCACGTAGAAGGAATGATGATTGCTTGTGTTGCAGTCGAAACGTCGTGAGAATTTTATCGTTTCATATTTTTATCATTTTATTGTTTCTCTTCTACGTGACTTTTACCGAAAGAACCAAGAATATATATATAGGTTTTAGTTGTCAAAGAACGTTTTTTTTTAAATGCTCTGTTTTAAAAGATCACGCTTACATTGTGACGCTTCGTTTCACCTACTTCCAATTTGCTCCGGAAAGAATGCGCGTGCTTTCGGTGACTCTTTGTGTTCACAGCAAGACACGCAATGCGTTTCACCAGCAACAAGGCACGCACTTTAATTGCGAGATGATGGCCAGCCGTTCTCTTTGGCCCTCTTTGTTAAGTTAGGAGAACGGTGTTGTTGTGTTCAGGGGGTTATTACTGCGCGCTTGCTGATATCCCGTTACCTGTCGTTTGCAATGGGAGTGTTACGCAGAATGGCCCGGGGCATGTAACGACGTATCGGTCGCTCGCGATTTTTTTTTCTTCTGCGTTCGGGATGAGCGCGTTGAATTGCGCGCGTGAAGGTTTTGAAAGCTTGGACTGTTTTTGCTAAATCGTATTCAAATGAATACATAGGCAAGTGTTACTTTTAACTGAAAAAAAAGGATACAAATACGACCAAGACGGGCAATATTTTGACGGAAAAATGAAACATCTCGAATTTAATCGTGACCCTGAATTGTGACGAGTGATCGTATCGCTGAGCGGTATGAATTGTTACGTGCCTAATCATAATAATAATTTGTTAGAGCCTGCCAACATCCTTGACAGTTTCTCATTTAGTACAACAAAAGCATTGGTACACCAAGAACACGTTTATTGTTATTAAATAGCAATTGTACATGCTTTCGTTAGGAACATACGATGTTTTATAGAGGCCTTCTATAGGATAGATATCCAGGGTAATTTGAGATTATGCATACATGGAAAAATGTGCCCTTTGGAGATTTATTTCTCGACAACTGGTTTTCAAGAAATGCCACGACATAGATTACCATGTTTACAAATTAAAGGATGTAATATATAAGTGCTAGACGCATTTCATCAGTATAGGAAGATGACTTGTGTATGAATGTTTGGCGTGTGTGGAAGTGGTGGTGATGGTGGTGGTCTTTTTCGACTTGTCATACGACTGTACAGACTGTGGGTGACTGTCTTGGATTGATTGTCCATCCGTTGATTTTTATCCGCAGATATGAGAGTGAAATAACATTTCAGCAATAATACGTCAGCGCTGAATTTCCATATAAATTGCGTGGGCTTTGTTCAGAATAGCGTTCAGTGTGCGGACACAGGTTCATCCCATAAAGTTGATTCATCATCCTCTCGTACAAGTAGGAGCACATTTGCCTAAAAGTCTGGCAAAAAAAAAATCAAGCCTTTTTCACGTCTTTAAGCCACTTAATACGCATTCGTGCACTCATTATACTTAACCACGCGAAGCAATTTAATTTTCAGTTATTTTGGGGCGGGGGGGATGGAAAGCCTGATGTGAAATATGTCAAAGTGCCAAATGCTCATAGATGCGTTCACCTGACCTGTTGACACCATTTGGCAAAAGTCACTATCACTTTCAAACTCGCGTCATTGCTCGCAAGCGAATCAATGGGAAGCATTTGAGGACACGTTTCCCACATCAGTGGGTGAAGAAATAAGAACCCGCCCCCCCCCTCCCCACCCCAAAGTTGAAATTGAAAATCAAGTGGGCGGTTGATAAGACAGATACATTATTTTGTTTGCTCTTGTCTCTGGGGCATGCCAAGGTTGGGGTTTCTCGCGATGTGATGTTGCTTATATCGCCGTTTCCCGAACCAGCAGGTCATGTTGCGGCTTGTACATTAACATTATTGTTTCGTGTACACTTAATTGAAAGCGCGCATTTATGTGAATTAACGTTGCGAGGGCTTTTTCAATTGGGAGTTTTGGGAAAAGCGTATCATTGTTATGTCCTGGCAAAGTGGATCCGTATAGATAAGATCACCCGAGTCTCAATTACTCTGTCAATTGCTAAGCGCTGTGCCAATACCCCAGGTTCTGGAATTAATGAACTGTGCACAAGGCCAGTTCAGCTCTTAGCTCGTTTCAATGGGCTAGCTGTCCCGTGTGTTTTCTGCTCAAGTTTTAATTGCCGCCTTTTATTCGGTTCCCAAAGAGGGCTCCCAGCGCGCGAAGCAAAACATCGGGACAGCCAGCGCAGCACAACCGGCGAACAAAACTCAGCACGGCTGTGAATGGCCCCTTAACCAACGCACCTCTGACACTGCTCCGTACGCCAAAGAGCATTGCCCAGCGTGTGGCTCTGACCCTAGGCGCCTAGTAGCGTGGCTCGGCTTCATTCACAATCCACGGCTCCAGGCCGGGCGCCTCGGGGCTTCTACAGACCAGGGGATTATTTCATCGAGGATTTGATTCTGGAATGCGGCTCGTATGCACGGTGGTTCATTTAGGCCATTGACTCTATTGACACCCGGATTAAACAGCAGTGTGTACAGGGGGCGGTGGGGACGCTATACATCACTCGGCTGTGTGTTCTAAGATTAGCTGGCCCGTGGTGAGTGAGGGATGGGCAGAACAAAAGAAAAGCCCCTCAAATTCGTTTTTTTTTTACTAGACAGCCTGTTTAACACGTTGGCTTTCGCGAGCAATATTATTCATAAAGGTTGTTGGCTTAGATCGCGTACGTAAAAATGCGTCGTAACCCTCCACCACCACCCGACACAGCCAATTAGTTAGGGATTTGTGGTGTAAACAAACGCGAAGTGACAATGCCCGCTAAGTGGCAATGCCACCAGTTGGGCCACATAATGTTACGGTCGTGCCCGCTGTTTGCTCGCCGAAATCCAAAGAGTTCAGTCCTTGGCTTCGCAAGCACCCGTTCAGCCGTTTTTTTTGTCGATCCACTGCTGGACGAGGGCCTCCCCACGCCGCGCCGCGCGGGTCGTGGGGTGGTTGCTCTACCCCACGCATCACCAGGCCGGCCATTGCAAGTTGGTGAAGGCGGGGAGCATATAAGTGGGAGCATAGAAGTAGAGTACAACAATGTATTTCACCACCTTGCCTTTTGCTGCCAACCACCTAGCCCCGTATCCCATGATAACCTAATTGTGGGTTTTGTTACATTTAAATTAATGATGTATACGGTATTCGCATAAACAGAGATTCCTGTGATGTTTATGTGTATCATTCTATCAGTACGTACTCACATATTCTGCATTATAGGTCGGTGCAGAATAGTGGTGGATTTGGTCGATTCCAATGGTGAGATTAGTTTCAGTTAGATGTTGATCCTGCTTGGCCAGGATTGGGCACAACTTAGCCCACTTTTCACCCAGGCAACTGTAGAGCAGCACAGACGAAGTGTTACTATAACCCATCATTAAAGCTAGAAATGGCACATTTACATATTAACATGTAAGAGACAGACACCATATATTACGTAAAAGCTAAGTGTAGAACGCAAAATCCCATCAATGGTTACAAATGCCGGCATAGTCCAACGTTGGAATGCCTCCTTCCAACGCTGTCAGAATCATTGTCCTCGATTAACTATCAGTGCGTTATGGAATCTGCAGCGGTGCCTCGCTGTTGTGAGCCACTTGCACGCGGACACACGCTGCACGGTCGCAACTCACAGGCTCAGTTTATCAGCGACGTAGTGCACTTTCACGCCGAACTGCAACCGTGTAAAAAAAAACATGATATCATCTTTGGGCAATTCTATACACGTGTGACGTCATATACGGTAGAAACGAATGCATTTGTCAATAAATTATAAATGGCAAACGTATAGAGATGCCATTGATGTGAATACACAAAAAAAACAACGTCAATGCTTTGGCAAGTTAATGAACAGCTTAATGTGTTTGTTTATATCGTAACTGATGTCACACGGTCATGGAATTGCCCCCAATTATTGTTTTTTTTGTGTGCATTATTAGGAAGCATCGTCTTTTCCACACATTTTCTCACTTTTCTCTACTCGACCAATGCGGTGCCCATATATCTCGACGAATGTGTTTGCCTCTGTGCCTCTCCGCGCGTGTGTGTGTGTACGCACGCACGCGCACGAGCGTATGTTGTGAATGCAGTATTTTTCACAGGGAGTCCTGGTGCGTGTCTCATTAAAAAGGGGGAGACTTTGCTGCCAAGACACTCTTGTTTTAAACGAGGCCGGACTATCTCCTGGCAGATGCCCTCGCCTTTGATGGCAAGCGTGACGCTGAATGCCAAACATTCAGGGCTATTGCGTTTCAATACGGCACGGTGAGGCTGGACCTTGCCTCGTTTAAACATTCAGAATCTTTATTTAGTTGCGCCTTAACCTGCAAAAAAAATGTATAGTTTATTGTTGATATACAATATGGCATAGGAGTAGGAAGCCGCTGGTGGCAGGACACATAATGGCTATTGAGCAAAAAAAAACACCCCTAACTCGGAGATGACGAGTTGCTTCATTTGCTCCTGCAGTGCCTGCGTTCGTGCAATGTACCAGCACTGCTGCGATGCCTGGTTTAAATCTCTGGAGAGCTCCCACCAGATATAAAATGTGAATAGCATGTAGGGGACAAACAGAGAGAGGTACAGCCCTCTAATTGATTGCTGATTCCACCATTCGCCCCCCCCCCCCAGAGGGTATTTTGGCCTAATCTTCCAAGCTGATCAGACTTCTTGAAAGGGGTAGGAGTATCCACACTTTATCCACATTTATGCTGCCGAGTGGATAGAAGGGCAGGGGAAATTTAAGAACTTTCCCCTATTTGAACTTACGTGCTGGGAGATCGAACCAGCAACCTTTGGATTACCCGTCCAGACTGCTAACCATGTTGTAATGAATTTCGATTTTAAGCTTTCGTGACTGCAAGGATTCATCTTCTTTGGTTCTTTCGGCCTTCATGATGATGAAGGCCGCTTGTGTTGTGGCCGAAACGTCGTGAGAATGTTATTGTGTTATTTTATTTTATCAATTTATTATTTTATTCGAATTCTACGTGACTTTACCGAAAGAACCAAAGAAGATGTTGTAATGAGTTCATATTTGAAGCCTGCTCAAAAATCACGGCAGACCGAACGACGTTTGTTCCTGCACATTCTCTGCTCTGATGGCCAAATTTCAGTGCCTGCGTTGCACGGTGACTTGACCAACGGGCACAGAATGAACTATTGTTGCGGGTGAAGATGATGCAGTCTTGCTTGTCTACGATACACCACTGAGGAGGCACGTCACGTGAAGCCGTGACGTGTGTCTTGTGGCTTCATTCCACGTGACACGTGGTCCTGTTCACAGGTGCTTCTCGAATGGAAGAGGAAGGGGTGGGGGGGGCACTTATTCACTCTGTGCCTCTGCGAGATTGCATTATTACACGGCAGTAATTAAAACAAATGTCACACTTCTTTTTTTTTACAAGGTACAACAGACAGCAGCCGCGCAGCTTTTTGCGCGCAACTGAGAACGTCACGTGCGCGTCACTCTCACGTGCGCGTCACTCCCACGTGCGCGTCACTCTCACGTGCGCGTCACTCTCACGTGCGCGTCACTCCCACGTGCGCGTCACTCTCACGTGCGCGTCACTCTCACGTGCGCGTCACTCCCACGTGCGCGTCACTCCCACGTGCGCAGGGCCTCTGAAACCACGGCGTCTATGTCCCGATCTTACGGAAATGCGTGTAAGCCAACGGTCGGGATTGCTGTACGTGACGCGATTATTTTTGCGGATAAGACTTTGGCTTTTAGTTTGGTTCACACACCCCCCCCCCTCAGCCCCCCGCCTCCAACAGAAGCTTGATATACTTTGATTGCGAATGGAAATGAGAGAGGGGGGGGGGGGAAATTACGACAGTAAAGTAGTGAAAAGAAAACTTGTATTTGTTCAACGTGCTCATGGAAGGGGGGGCGGGGGGGGGGGGGCTTTAGTGAGCCACACCTTTTTGTGACTTCTTTTAGGTAAGGCCGTCCGGCGCGAATGGTAAGATGAGCTGTACTTTATTTTTTACCGCAGGTCCCCTGGCGTTACGAAGACTTACCTTGGGCTACTTAATTCTGCCATTGCCGCGTTCCAGTTTGCATCAGGCCCATTAGTGTGCTCGCTGAACCATGCACCGGGAGGGAGGGAGGGGGGGGGGATCTGCTTACAGACACCACCTTGATAACAAAAAATGTTTGCTTGTGGAAAGAAAAAAAAGCACTCCAGTCGCACACTCATTTCAACGTTACGCAACATTTGTGTCTAAAATGCATGTCACGGGTGAATTGGGTGTCCGGTTCTCAGAAGCGAATTACTCAAAATCCTAGAGAGAATCTATTTTGGCTTGTGGCTTCGGAGTGCCGTTTCTTTGGGAGGGGGAATGGGTGTCGGGGTGTTGGTTTGTCGTGTACGTTTTTTATAATGGGGAAAAAGCCGATACCAAATTTATGTGCACCACAGAATCAACTCTATTTTTTTCCCATATTCCCGCGTGAGCAATGAAGCCTCCTTCGCTGCCGCTGCAATAAATATTAGCGGGACACATTGAGTCATGCAAATATGTCGTTCGGCAATTCACAAATAGCAGAACTTTAAAAAATAGAGCGATGATGGCGTGAAGATACGGTGAAGGTGCATAGATGGATACATCGCCTCTTTGTACTTCATGCAGGTGTTGTAAAGTAATGGAAGGGGTGTAAATGCAAAGTGTTTCTCGTAAAAAGTAAAAAACACGCAGAAAGCACTTTCCAAATTGAACGTTGATTGCATTGAAAGTGATGCTTTAAAAGTAATGGTGGCTGTAAAACCACGTGTATATTTGTGAATTGTGTATATAAGATGTGTGCAAGGTATTCTTTGGAGAGTATTATATATAATATACAGAAGAGTATAAGATAAAAGTGACTGACTACTGCGCTTAAAGACGTTTTTTTGGGAAATGTTCGAGAGGTAGTGAGCAACCTTTGAGCACCACGGTGGCTAGGAGATGTTAACTACCTCGCCTGGTATACAGGAGGTCGTGGGTTCGATCCCGACGCCTGTTGTATATTTGGAGTTTGTGGTGTCTCTCTCACCGTGGTCACGTGGATTTTTCTCCGGATCCTCCGGTTTTTCCCTCCACATTTAGAATCAAAATGCCTTCAGAGAATTTGTCTGCTGTAAATTTACACGTGATAAGCCACTTCGTTGAGCTATCATTTGTGGCCAGCTCTCTTCTGAAAAGGAGCTATATAGTTCAGTGGGCCTTTCCAGGCAAAATGAAAACAGTTTATACTCTTTGGTTCTATTCGGTAAAGTCACGTAAAAAAAAACAACAAGCTTTAAATCTAGAAAAGAAAACAGTTTAGTTTTGAAAGGAGTATTAAATGCGTGCACACAAGACTACATTTATTTTTTAACTTCACTCACGTTAACTTTGCTCTGTCAATGATGCTCAGTCGCCAGGGTTGTTTCACCATACTTCGCCATGCTGGTCAGCGTGCAGAAGGAGGGCCCATAACTGGTTCAGATATCACTCGCCACCGATGTTAACTGTGACCTGGAATTAAACGCAGTTTTTTTTAAAGGTTCATAAGTCAGTGTGCTAACCACTGCACCACCTATCCTCAGTCCAGAATAATAAATGGAAATTGTTTACTCGGGAAAGAAGCCCTTTGAGTCTCAAGATGAGTTTCCAGGAGGGGTCCCCACATTGGGACGTTTGGCCAATGGCCATTCATTGGTTTAATTTGTGAGGAAAACAGGAGGAGGCCGTAGAAAAGTCAGATATATTTTTTTGCAATTGGTAAAAAAAAAACCCGTCGAGTTATCATCCTTCGTTCAGCAAGCGTCTGCATCAGCCGTCCCTTCTTCTGGCCACTAAAACCTTTCGCCTACAATTCATGGACTGGTGCTGACGTGAGGAACTCTTTTCTACAGAGTCGTGTTTTTCACGGTGTGTGTATTCCCAAAGCTAGTCCGTAATCTATGAAAACATTTGGAGCTGGCCCGGTGAGGAAATTAGATTTACAGAAAGCAAAACTAATAATTGCTATTGGAAAATATATTTCCTGTTGTTGTTGTTGTTGTTTCTCCCCGTAGCCAACATTAATTTACTCATGCGTGTGTCCGCGCGTGCGTGTGTGAGGTGGTCAAGATCTTTTGAAGATGTTTACAACCGATTTTTCTCAGAAACCAAGCTATTGACCTACGTTTTCAGCGCAGCAATCATTCGTTCACATTAACCCGTCAATATGAACGAGCCTGTTTGGATTCATAAGAGCAACGTGGTTGGGGAGACCTCAACAATAGCTGAACGTCATATTTGTAAAAAAAAAACCCCGTTTGTCATTTTCCTTTTGTCTCAGACTATCTTGACCAGCTCCCCATGTACGTTGCAACGGGCATGACACGTTGTTCTAAGCACTTGGTTCTTTGCAGATGGTTTTTTTCACCATCATCCGTGTTAGCTTGTAAGGCGTAAATCGGCGGTGCCTTCTTGTAAACAAATACACCCTGCACATGCAGAGCGATCTTTGCTTACGAGCAGTTGTTGTTGTTGTTGTTTTCGTTAGATCTGACAATAGTGTTCGTCGGAGGTGTTCGGCTTCTTGACCTAAAAGAGTGCACACAGTTAGAGCAATCGCTTGCGATCCATGCAAGCAGATACCTTGCGAGCTGTGGTTGTGTGTGTGTGTGTGTGCCTTGGGAGAAGGAGCAAACAGTGTAAAATAAATGCGACGCGAGTATTTCATAGTTGAATATTATCTTTCGCTTTATTTATTAAATGCAATTTCTATAACGGTGTGCTTTTTGTAACGTTAATTTAAATATAACTATAACAAATAAAAAAAAAATTAAACGAACTAACGGTGTTTGCTGCAAGACTGATTTTTTTTAAGAATTGCTGCACTGTGCGGCGCACTTTTCGCGCCACCGGGAGAAAAATAAAAGATCACTTGACCTGGGAGCAGGCATTCTGTTCAGACCTACAGGAAACAAACCACTTCCGATTAGCACGGTTGGCTACGTACGGAGCGAAAGAAGTTCAGCGTACGTACGTCGTCGGAGCACCGGTACGGGTGTCTGAAAAACAGATTTTTTTTTTGTTATTTTATTTTGAACACTTTCGCTGTGTGCGGGCCTAACGGGCCCAACACTTTAAGTGACCAGCTACAAACATCACCACTTCCACACACACAAAAAGTTGTAATAGCAGACAAAGAGTTAACATGTTTCTTGAACTGTACACGGGTTGTCTTATGTTGATTAATATACCACCTTATTGAAGGGCACTCGACAACAATTCTAAAATTGTACATCAGATGATAGTGGGGTTATTAAAAGTGGTGGTGACAGGAGAGGAGGCTAGAGGGGTTACGATGGGGGTAGCGATAGGGGTTGTGGCTGTGATAGAGGCTGGGGCAGTGATAGGGGTTGGCGTAGTGGTAGGGGTGGTGATAGGGGTAATGATAGGTGATCGGGTAGTGATAGGGGTTGGGGTATGGGTAGTGACGGGGGTTGTGATAGGGGCTGGGGTAGTGATAGAGGTTGGGGCTGGCTTTGTCGTAGCTGAGGTAGAGAGTAGCAGTAGCAGAATGATGATGGGCTAGGGTAGAAGAAGATTGGGTTTGTTTGAAGGGAGGAAAGGGAGCAGGTTAGTGAGGATGATTATACGAACTTAGAGGATGAGGAGGGGGAAGGAGGAACGCGAGAGTAAGATTTGAATAAGTGTTTGTGGCCTAAAGTTGCAGCGGTCTAACGCGGAACGGATGAGGCGAAACAGGCTCTCGGCCTCGTGTATATTTTTTTTACAAATACTTCAAAAATTCACGGGGCAGCATTTATATTTAAAAAAAATGTAACCGTCAATATTTAATTGCCACAATTTTAATTGCCTTTGTTTATACGGGGTTTGACAAACGTCCGCAAAGTCATTATCTTCACGTCCAGACTGAACGCCAAAAGCTGTGACATTGTCAGAATGAGCAATTAATTGGATGATTAATGCCCCTTTGCATGCATCTTTGCATTCATCCAATTAGCCACTCTACGTGATCATCCTGGTACAACGACCTGGCTGACAATGTAAGGATGTTCGGCCAATGTTCTCACGAGTGCTGCTACTCAGGCGCTCACGGTGTAAGAAGAGTACGTCTCCATTTAACATTCGCGCACGAGCCACTCCCAGGCTACCTACCAAGAGCCCTCAGAGTTGCGTGTGGGAATGCGTTTCGCATATTGTAGGAGTTTTTTTTGTTCTTTCTAAATAGGGGCCGTCCATAAATGACGTCACGCGATTTTGGACGATTTTTTTACTCCCCCCCCCCCATCGTCACACGGCTTCACAAAAAGTCAGATGCCCCCACCCTCAAATATGACGTCACAAAGCTATGCCCCCCCCAAAAAAAAATATAAAGCATGCTTCAAATCGCTTTAAACTATTGTCATTGCAGTGCGTATTTAATGTGGCGCTGCACTCTGATGTTGTAGGAGAAAACATATATTAAAACGTCAATTTAATTAAGTAGAACGTGTTGTCTGTATTTATTTAAAGTTGCGCATTTTGATGTGACGTCATAATTCTCAACCCCCCCCCCCCCCTTGTCACACATCGTCACAAATGTCTGACACCCCCCACCCCCCCAGGTGCGCGACGTCATTTATGGACGGCCCCATAGCCATATGCGAGTTAGAATTCCCAGCGTCGTGGACATGGCGCGTGCATTGTTAGCATTTAGCAGTGGTGCATTATTGTGGAACATATGATGGATGTTGACTTAAAGCTTTCGTGACTGCAGGGATTCATTCTCTTTGGGTCTTTCGGTAAAGTCACTAAGATAGAAAAATAATAACAGATCACGATGTTTCCATCGCCACACAAGGGATCGTTCACCCTGAAGACGATGGCTTGTGTTGCGATGGAAACGTTGTTCTATCTACGTGACTTTACCGAAAGACCCAAAGGTTATATGACGCATGCTCTGTTGACGTGCGTTGTCTGAAAAATAAAAGATGCTGATGAATCGACGATGCGTGCCGCCGTTTTAGAAACTCCCACAACTTCCCCGTAGCGTGAATAAGAAGAACGCCAATGAACTTTTTTTTGCCGCGTTCATACGCGTGCTGTGTTTGTAATGGTTTCGAGGTGATGTCGCAGCCAGCTAGGGTACATCAGAATCGTCGTTTATCCTGGAGGAATCTGATGTGCCATTAAGTTATTTTTCACAGATGTCCAGTAAGGACAGATCAGCAAGTTAAAACAAACAATACGCATTCTGTCGTAAAGTCACAACCGGTTTAAAAGCAACGTCCACGTGCATATCGCGAATACAAGAAATGCACAGATATGTTCGAGGAAATAAATATAACAACGTTGAATGTGCGTCGTTGGCCATTATTCCTAAGCTGTACGGTGGTCCGTTGGCCAAATTAAAGGTGGCTTTGTAGTGCCAGTGGATTTTCGTCATTGTCATCATTAGCCCACGATGCTGATGAGCTGTGGAGAGGAAATAATAGAGGAGGATTATTTGTGTTCTTGCTGACCTCTGCCAAGGCACTGACGACCCTCATCCTTCACGCGTCTCGTATATACAACGTGCACTGCTGCATTATGCTGACGTTTTCCATTCAAGTACCTCTTCCTAGGCAGTGTGGCCTCGATACACCGTCGGTGAAAAATATTGGGTTTCTTGTCTCGTTCTTTTTTTTTCCCCACGGAACACCAACTGTTGTTTTCATTGCCAGTGATGATGATGAGATCATGCGTTACCTTGGCAGCCATATTGCATGCGGCAAGCGCTTCGCGCAAAAAAGGCCACCGTCTGTCAATGCACGTGGAGAGCGGTAGCGCAACGGTTGAGGCGCTGCGCTACGAACCCGGTGAGCCGAGTTCAATTACCGCTCACGGCCACCACCAGTGATGATTATCCGAACCGGTCCTCTGTCAACTCAACGGTCCTGGGTCGAGATGGCACCAGATGCTCAAATGAGTGGCTGGGGCGGTGCGTAAACATCGCCACTGTAGAAAGACAAAGGCGTCCGGGCGTGGTGTTGGCCACCCACCCCCTCGTGTGCCGTGCTGGCTTTCCATAGGTGCTCGCTAATATCCCTTCCCTTCTACGTGGTGACTTTACCGAAAGAACCAAGAATATGAATCCCTGCAGTCACGAAAGCTTTAAATCAAAATTGAAAACTGTTAAGGCTATACGGTATCAGCTAATGTCTGCACAGCCTACCAGCCTCTGACAGGAGTGTTTACGGGATACCAACAGGATGGGAAGAGGGCTATAATTCGCCAGAGCAAGTCCCATAGATAGTAGAGGTGGACGGATGCATCGATTTGGCAATCAATATTGATCCCTAAGCTCATGATGCATGAATAGAATGGCGCGTATGTGTGTAAGAGTCAATGTTTTTTAGTTCGCTTATCTTGTATGCGATGGCTTCGTGTCACCTCTGCAGCCACTGGAGGCGCTTGTGAAATTTTAGATGCCGTAGTAAAAAAAAAAACTGATATATTCATACATTTATCCTCTTTGTAAATCCACTGCTGGATGAAGGCCTTTACATGCCAGGTTGGTGAATGGGGGTTCTTTGACCACGCTTCACCGTGCTGATTCGTGCGGGTTGGTTAAAGGGGGGAGGGGGGGGTGCAGGAATGGTTCAAATCTCACTCACGACTGACGTTAGCCTTTGGCCAAGAGTCGAACTTGGGTGGTCTGGCTTAAAGCATGAGGCACTATCCGCTGCACCGCCAGAATCCACTTTCATCCCACTAGTTCATCATCGTTGAACACTCTCCTCGCCATTTCTATTTAACAAGGGAAAGGGACACATATAAAAAAAAAACCTGGCATAGGTAGCATCTGCCATTACTAAACTTTATTTGAAACACATTGTTCATAGCATCCATCGACCGATGTATGAAAGTCAACGCCACCATTTTCCTACAAGCCCGAGTCAGCGCCCAGTACGATGAGAGTTGCTCTACAGCAGTGGTTCTTAACCTTTACGGCAGCCTTGCACCCCTTTGGTTCTCAATCGCAAAAAACAAAAACAAATGTATAATGTTAGTAAATAACCTGAGTTTGATGAAACAAAGTAGTTGCACTTACGTGCCCATGCTTAATTTGTGTTTTCGATTATTTAACTTCTAAAAATATCTGGATATGTCTCGCACCCTCAGTAAGGGGCACCTCGCACCCTCAGAAAGGCGCACCCAGGTTAAGAACCACTAATATAAAGGATGCTATTTTCTTCACAGTAACAATGATGTTACATGTGTCCGGCCAAAAAAAAAAACCTCACAGTCGCCTTTCAAGATTTTCCATCAGTAAAAAAGGGGCGCTGTGGCTAGGAGACGTTAACTACCTCGCCTGGTACGCAGGAGGTCGTTAGCTACCTCGCCTGGTGTACAGGAGATGTTAACTACCTCGCCTGGTATGCAGGAGGGCGTGGATTCGATCCCGACTCTGACGGTTGTATATTTGGAGTTGGCGTGTTCTCCTTGTGGTTGCGTGGATTTTTCTCCGGGTCCTCCGGTTTTTACCTCCACATTTCGGAACATGCATATTATAGGGAATTGCGTTGCTATACATTTCAGCATAATAAGCCACTTCGTTGAGCTATCATTCGTGGCCATGTCGCTTCTAAAAAAAGAATTATATAGCTCAGTGGGCCTTACCTGGTAACAAACAAACATATATGCAGTGAAACTTATGTATATACACTACGTACATCTGATATGGCACTCATAACAGAAGTGGTCTGATAAAATCCTACACTTGTGTTGGTTACGTGTAAATCTATTTGCTTAAACTTATCTTGCCCCATCCCTCGATCATTTACGGCCCAGATTTTTCAC